AAATATATAATGCTTAAAAGCTTTTAATTTAACTTAAGCGAAATAGTATTTTAATAAAGATATTATATAATTACTATTTTTTAATACTATAAAAATAAGCTTAAGGTATTAAATATATTTATTAATAAAGCGGAAAAAAATTATAATATTATTAATATAAACTAATATAAATTCTTAAATATATATATTAAAAAGGCTTTTTATATAATATTAAAAAAAGAAAGGGGAAATTGCAAAACCTATAATAGTTATAATTATATGCTTAAGGCCTTAATAAAGAATGATAAAGATTATCTTTTAATAATTCCTAAGGGTAATAGGTTGTTAAAAGAAGCCTTTAAAAATATTTATAATAATAAATATATTATAGCCTTTAAAAAAGTTAAGTATATTATTTTATTAAGATAATAAATAGCTATAAAGAATAAGCTTAATATTAATTTAATAAAGGTTAATAATTATTTAAGGTTTGTTATTACATTAAATAATAAAGATTAGCGCTATAATTACGTAATTTTCTCCTAGTTAAATTAATTTCATTATGTTTATCTTAATTAATTTATTAATAATTTTATTAAAGGCTTTATAGTCTTTTTATAATATATTATATAGCTTTTAAACTAAGTTATTAAGATTAGCATTTAATTTTAAGGGAATCTTTATTTTTATATTATTATTAAATTATCTTAGCTTTAATTAAAATAATTAAGTATATTAAAGGATAGTTTATTTAATTTTATATACTTTATTAAAGCTTTAACTAGGGTTTATATTTATATTATTAATATTAAATTATAAATTTAGGATTAGTATATTAAAGGGATAGCTATTTAAAAATTATTCTTTTTCTTTATTAAGGGGTATATTACTAAGTATTTTTAATAAGGGAATGGTAATTAAAGTAAAATCCTTTTATGTTAAGAAGGTTTTTAAGTTAAAAGCAATAAATATAGCCTTTAAATATTTAAAAAGCTGCCCCTTATAAATTATTATAAGTTAATTTTTAAAATTAAAAAAGGGCAGAATAATAATAGCGTTATTTATAATGCTATTAATAAAAAAGCTATAAGTTAAGCTATAATAATTAAAAATAACTTTAAGTTTAATAAGGTACTTAAAAACTTAAATTAAGAGTTTTTAAAAATAAATTTAAATATTAAAATCTTTGCTAAATAAGATAAAGTATTTATAAGTTGCCTTAATAGCAGCTATTTTATATTAAATAAAAAGATATTTAATATAAATGGCATAAATCTTTTAATTAATGTTTAAAATAATAATTAACTTATTATTATTTAAAGGGCCTTAATATATATGTAATTAATGCTTTTTTAAGAAAGAAAGATTAAGAAATAAGCTATAAAATAAGCCATTAATAATATAGGCGTCTTTTTTAATAAGCTAAGATTGCTTATCTTAATTAAGAATATTAATAAGTAACTTAACCTTATAAATAATAATAAGGCTAACTTTAACTTTAATTAAGGAAAAAAGAGTTTATAATAATTTATGCTTTAATTTAAAATAATATAATAAAAGTACTTTTTAAAATATAAGTAAAGCATTTAAAGTAATATTAAGAATATTATTAATAAGCTTTTTATTAAGCGTAATAAGTATAATATAAAAATAGTTTAACTTAAATAAAAAATAAAAAGGATAAAATATATTTTATTTTATTAAATATAAAAAAATAATATTAATAATGCTTTTTATAATATCTTTATATATTATTAAAATAATAAAGTTATCTTATTTTAAGGAAATCTTTAATTTAAGTATAAAAATAAATATTAATATAAGCTTAAGCTTTTTATTATTTTTTTATAAAGATAAGTTATAAAGAAATTATTTTAAAGAATTAATAATAATATTAGCTTTAATAAAGTTAAAAATAAGAGAAATTAAGGACTTTTTATATAGCAAATATATCCTTAAGGGCATTTACTAAGTTATTTTTCCTATTTTAATTTTAAATTAAAGTTTAATTTAAAATCATTACTTATATTAAGTAAATCCCATATTAAATTATAAAATTATTAAATATTATTAAAAACTTTTTAAAAAAGGGTTTTAAATTCTTTATTAATATTTATAATATATGCTTATAAAGAAAGTTATAAAATGCTATCTTAATAATTTTATAAAAGGAAATATTTATAAGTAAAGCAATTTAACTTATTTAACTTATTATAAGTAATTTAATTAAAATAGTTTTTATACTCTTTATTCTTATTAATTATAAGATTATTAGCTATCTTTTTAATTAAAAGCAAAACGTTATATATTACTTTATATTTATAGCTAAGGCTATATAAATATGCTAAATTATATAAATAATTAAGGCTATAATTATAAGTTTGCTTATAAGCATTATAATAAGGGTAAGAAACTTATTTTTAATTATTATATTATAAGAAATAATTAAATCATTTAGGTTTTTTATAATAATTATTATTTTTTTAAAGGGTAATAAGCTGCTTTTATAGCTTATAAATCTTATAGCTTTAAGCTTTCTTTACTTCCTTATTTTTTTATTACTTTTAATAAATATTATACTTATTTTAATTAATAAATTACTTAAAATCTTTAAGTTTATTATATTAAGTTTATAAAGTAATTATTATATATAACTTAGAATTTAATTTAATATAAATTTAATAAATTTAAGTATCTTTATTTAGCTTTTTAGCTTTATTATAAAGATAAATCTTATTATTAATATATTTATATAAAGATAAAGTATCTTCCTTATTAAAAGAGTAGAATATTTTATCTACTTTAGCTATAAGGTTATTATAATCTTTATAAAAGCGCTAATAAAGCTTAGCTTTCTATAAACCTAAGTTATTAATAAAATCTTCCTGCTTATATTTAATTAATAATATAAATTAATAAACATTATTTAAATTTAAATTTAAAATAATTTTAATAAAAAGGTTAATAAAAATTATAGCTTTACTATAAGTCTTTATAAAGTATTAAATATAAGCAATATATATATTTACTTTAAAGCTATAAAATTTAAATATCTTTAGCTTTAAATATAAATTATTTTCATAAGCTAATATAAATATTTAATTTAAATTGCCTTGCTAAGTATAATAATTTTAGCTATAATAAAAATAATCTTAAGGGTAAAAAGCTTTTTATTAAAAAGAGCGTTCTTAGCAAAAATATTAATAATAATTATTAATCTTATCCTTTATATTTAATTTAAAGGGAATATTATAAATAGGGCATTAATTAAGAAAGCCGCAATCTTTAGCTAATAAATAAAAAAAGCCATAGCAATACTTATAATAAGAAAAGTAAATAAGCTAGCTATTTATATTTTATTTATTTCTATAATTCTTTAGCTTAAAGAAAGCTTGTTAAGAATTAAGGATAAAATAATTAATTAATATAAAAAAGGCTTTTAAAGAAAAAGTAATATTTATAAGTTTTGCAAAAAAATAATAAGCTATTATTACTTAATTTTAATATTTTACTTTATTAAAGTCCTTTATAATATATTAAATTTAAGTAAAAAGTTAGTTTAATATAATAAAATAAAGTTTTAAATATATTTTTAAAATTATACTTTGCTTAATAACATAAATAATAGCTATATTAAAAAGATAATTGCCTTAAGTATATAAAGGTATTTATATAAAAAAAGCTAAGGGCTAAATATATATAAAATACTTAATAAGTTTAAGATAAAATTCCTTAAAGTAATCCTTAAATCTTAATAAATAAGCATAATCTTAAGATAATTTTATTTTAGCCATTTTATTAGCTTATTTTAATAAAAAAGTTTTATATTCTTTATTTTAGCTAACTTTAATTAAAGAAGATAAGTTAATATTAAACTTATTTTAATTAAGAAATTAATTATAAAAAATAACTAGCTTTTAAAACTAAAAAACCCTTAGGGAATTTTAAAGTAAAGAATTAAAAAAAGATTATTAAATTAAGTTAAAGAAGTTAATAAAGCTTAATAAGGCTTAATTAATATTTTATATCTTCTTAAGTTATATTTTATTAAAAAAGAAGTTATAATTTAATGCTTTAATTATTATAAGTTATATTTAAAGTTTCTTTTAGGTAAAAGCAGGGATTAATATTAATTATATAGGAATAAAAAAAGCTTTTTAAGCTAGTTTTAATATATTAATAGATTTAAAAGGTTAGTTTAATTTTAATTAAGGCGGTTTAATAATAATAAAATATCCTTTTGCATTTTAAAAAGGCTTATTTCTTACCTTGCTTATAAAATTATTTATAAAGAGGTTTTAAATTAAAGTTAAAAATTATTTAATTAAGGGGTTTTAATAGCTAAAAGTTTATTAAAGCTATTAAGTTAATAAATATTATAGCTTAATAAACATAAAACTTATTAATAATTATTTAAAGCATTATTAATAATATTTAAGGCCTTTAGCTAATTAAGCTAAGGTTAATAAGATTATTAAATTAATTATATATTAAGGAAATGCAATTATTTAAATGGTTGTAAGCAATTAATATTAAATTAATAATTAAATCTTAGCGTAAAAGTAATGAAAAGTTAAACTAAGTTATAATTATTATGTAATGAAATATATAAGGGCTTTTAAAACTAAATTAGGGAATTAAATGGGGTTGCTAATAGTTAATTTAATTAAAGTATCTTGCAAAATATATATATATTAAGAGAAGCTAATGCTAGGCGGGCTATGGAAGGTATGGTATATTAGAAGAAAGGGGAGTGCTTAGTTATCCCCTAACAATGATATCATATCCCACTCCCTCTAAACCTCCCGGATATGCTGGCCATTAGACACTCCTCAATAGTCGAACCGTCAAAGAGCTCAATGATCAACTTGCATGAACTGAAAGCGTTGAGACTGCTCATATTACCCAGCAAGCCAGCCAGATCCAGATCACTTTCTTATCTCAAGAGCAGTCATCTCGGCCACCACCTGCCCTCGACCCTCTTCACCGCCAGCTCATCCCCAAAGCACACGTTCACCACAATGAGTTGGATGGACAGCTGGTCAAGACCTTCGAAGCATCAGTCCGTTCCGGCACCCTTCTATCTGCTCCCGGGGGGAGAGACGACTCCTTATTGCCACTCATGTGGTCGAGTAATCAATTCGCGGCGAAAGGCGCAGCCGTCCGTAAAGGACGACGCAGACAAAACCCCTGTCAAATACTGCTCAGCTAGCTGCCGGGGCCGCAAGCCGGGAAAGGTTGACCGTGAGATTGAGGCAGTATTCTTGCGGTTCCTGCAGGGCGAGGGAAAGCCACCGTCACTCGATGAGGGCAGCAAGCGGGCACAGAAGTCGAAGAAGGGATCCGGTGGAAAGCGAGCAAAGGGCGACCAGAGGTTGCTGATATCGTGCGACGAAGTCGAGAAGTTTGTATTTGGCCCGACTGATGAAGGGGCCAGCACGGCCTGCTCTGGCTCAGAAGACGATCACGAGGGAGAGGGCGAAGGTAAGAACGGCAGTGCCACGGGGATAGCCCTCGAGGCCACATCATCAGAGCCTCGAGACATGGTTCACAATTCTGGAACTCTCATAGACCCAATAGAAGATGCCGCGCCCTATATAGACGGGGATGTTCTAGCCCGCATGTCTGCCCGCAGCGGAACGCGGGTACGGCCGCCTCAATCTACGTCGGAAGTCAACGGTAGTGTGGGTGGCGAGAAGGGCCGGGCGAAGAGAGTAGACGAGACGGATGAGATGCTGGAGAAGCGCAGGCAAGGCCAGAAGAAGGCACGGCAGAGAGAGATGGTCAGATGTGCAGCGAGACGCGCCGTCGTGTTCGGGCTCTTCGCTGGCGATGGGCAAGGGGAAGGGGAAGGGGAAGGGGAAGGGGAAGGGGAAGGGGAAGGGAAAGACAGGAGGAAATGCGAGGCCGTCATGAATGGCCAGGTCGTCGAGCCCTCGTTTGCCAAGGGATCGTGGAGCATTCGCTGGAGAGAATGAAATCCATGGTCTTTCGGGCTGGCGAAAGAGGGGAGAACATTCATGTTGAATCTAGCCCACTGTATCACGGCCCCCAAGACTGGGCATCCCAGCACCCCTTGTACAGTTCCTGGATTGTAGTTGTCTGTAAAAGCAATCCAGCCCCACGTTATTCCCGTGAAGCCGCCGAGGCAGGGCCAACTTCCACGTTCGATTCGGGCAGCCTCAGTTCTTCTTGTCTGACGTCGAGTTAGGAGTGCCCAATATTGCCGCCACCTTGTCCTTGAACGTTTCTTCGCCCCTCGTCTTGCGGGCTTGCCTCTCGGCCTCCTGCTCCTTCCACAACTCCTTCACCTTGCCTACCATGGCCTCCTTTGACCTCAGCTCGGCTTGTATGGCAGCCGCCTCGGCGTCGCGTTCCTTCTCGTCCACTTTTGCCAGGGCGTCTTGATACCTCTTTTTCGCCTCCTCGCTCATATTTGCGATGCGGTCATCGCCGATCTTTGGCACAAAAGGCTCGAATTTGGGCTCGGGCAGGCCTTCCGCCTTCGCCTTCTCGATGGCAGCCTCTTGCTCGAGCATCTGGTGATACAGCTTATCGGCGTGCATTTGTATCCTCTCGTCCATCTCAGGCGAGCGGTCAATGGCATTTATATAGCCGAGGGCTTTGAGAAGCCTCTGTCGCAAGAACCGTCAGTCTTCCGGCCGGTCATTGGAAGCCAACCCGAGAGCAAGCGACTTACCGACTGCATGTTATAGCACCTCTCAAACTTCCGAACTTCGTCCCTGCACATGGTCATGCGCGCCTTCAATGACCCGCTCTTCATGCAGTTGTTCCAGTCGAGCTGTTCCTCGGAGCAATTCTCGAGGGCTGCCTGCCCTATCGCTGCCTTCCGGCTCTTGAACGAATCTAGCACATCCTGCAGCTTCTCGTGGTCTGACTTGGTCTCGCTCTCGACCTCGCCGATCGGCTTGTACGTCTTCCACAGGTGCGCATAGCGACCGTCCTGGTACAGCGATTCTTTCGGTACTGAGCTGGACACGGTTTCGCTTCTTGCTGTCTGGTCGCTGGGCGAAGTTGCCGCACCCGATTCTGCCGCTGCCGGTTGCTGGGCTTGTCCATCCTGCTTGGGCTTGCTGCCGTCGTACTTGACGAGCGATTCCTTGCGCAGGAACTCGCGGACTTTGGGGTCAAAGTCTTGCAACGGATCGTCACTCCTTCTCCCCCACAGAGAGTCGAGCCAACCCATCTCGCTCGTTAAACCTAAGGCGTCAAGGCGAGTGCGCGATGCATGGTCTGGACTGCCGCCCTGGAGGAAAAGATGTCGGCAGCGAACTCGGCAAAATCGAGCCCCAGTCAACAAGCTCCTAGTTGGACAAGGATCAAGTTTGAGCGGGTGGGTCATTACGCCAATCACGTGCAGTTCTTTATTTGATGTACCGGGCACTCAGGCCTTGGAATTGATTCTGATTTCTAGGGGATGTTTTATTTTTGGCTCGAAAGCGATACCAATAGTTGACTTGAGACCGGGCTGCGAATGCATATTAAAGATTTTGACAAGAGCCGCATTTTGGCCAGACCCAGAGGCCGGGGAAAGGGTAACAACTCGAGGCTCCGAGCAGCATGTCTGGACTGAGGCTAATTGGAATTGCTGTGCCTAAGACCATGGAGCCGGCCTCTCAATCCTGCATTTCTACATTCATGACATGATCGCCCCATCCACGGAGGCGTCCGCCGACTGAGCCCACGCCGCAGGTCTTCCACCGTGAGAGGCTCGACCCGGGCACGTTCGGTGCACGGTGACTTGAACTTCTTTCCTCTGGCTCTACACGTGGTAGTAAAATTCGTTCGTGTTTGAGATCTTTTCTTCATTGACGGAGATCTCGATTCCGCTGCTCGTCGACAATATCACACATAGCCTCGCGTGCCCGTTCGTCGTCAGGAGACCTGGGTATGCCGAATTCGTTTCATTCCAAACTGCACTAAAGGCATCCTCGTGTCCTTTCGCAGTTCGCCCTTGATCCGCCGTCCATTTCTTTGTAAAAACCATCAAGCAAGCGACGCCAGAAATGCCAAAGGAGATCCCACTCGTTCAATCCCTTTTTAGAACTTGGAGAACTTCTTGACGGCCTTGCCGGTGCGGGGCAGCACACGGAGAACGTTGAATCGGACCTGAACGGCAGGAGATGTGTTAGCCTGGGGTTTCCCTCTGCTTGTGCTTCTCTTGTTGTGAGACCTACAGTCTTGCTCAGAGGCCGGCACTGTCCAACGGTAACCTGGTCACCCTCCTCAACACGGAAGGCTGGGGAGACGTGGGCGGCGAGGTTCTTGTGTCTCTTCTCGTAACGGGCGTACTTGGGGATGAAGTGGAGGTACTCGCGGCGGACGATGATGGTACGGTGCATCTTGGTGGACACAACAGTGCCGGTCAGGATACGTCCACGGATGGAGACGAGACCGGTGAAGGGGCACTTCTTGTCTGTGAGAAGCAGTCGGGGTCAGCGTTCGAATCCTTGCGCTCATTGCCGCTTTTTTCGCTCCTCGTCCAGGCGTCCTCCAGGCGTCCTCCAGGCGCTGGCTGCCCTCCTACCAGCCCCACAAACAGCAGTCCCCCGAGAAGTTCGTCGACGATGCGCGGGCCTAGCTATATTTTCACGTACCAATGTACTGGCCCTCAATGGCAGTCTTGGGGGTACGGAAGCCCAGACCGACATCCTTGTACCACCGGCGCTGTCCAATATCGTCAGCTTTCGATGTGCTTTCTTGTTGCCATTTCCAATACGAATATTCTTGGGCCACTCACACCACCCTTGCCGGGACGCTTGGTCTTGCTCTTGGTGACAAGAGAGATGTGAGGCTGCTTCTGGAAAGCGCGCTCCGACTGGACGGTCAGCTCGGTAGCCATGTTTGCGGTTGAATTTGCCGGTCGCGAGTGGTTGTCGAGGGAAGTGGATTCGGCGACGTCGCGATTCTATCGAAAGAGGACCTGGATTAGTTCACCGAATTCGATTGACCGTTGAACGAGGCGTCACAAATCCATAGAGAAGTCGAGATACGCAATGCTGGATGGGCAGGAGACACTCACAAATTGACCGACAAGCTGCTGGCAGAGTGGTGGTGAGTCTCTAGAGTGGGGCGCTGTTTTTTTGGTTGGCAAAAATCAGTGCTTTGCTCGCGCCGGAACGGAAAAACCTGGGCGGTCTGTCCGGTGCAGATTGTACTACCGTACTGCAGGAATGGGGGACAGTGCCTCCGTGCTTGGAGCTGCCGACCTAGGCCTAGTCAGCCTAGTGTGCTCTTGGCCCACCCCCAGCTGCGCACCCCCCTCCTTCTTTCCCCCCTCCCCCCCTTCCCCCCTCCCCCCTCCCCCCGGCACAACTCCCGTCCTCCGAACCCGCACGGTCAATTCCCTGTCAACCAGAACGCGCCTAATCGCATTGTTTACATAGGTCATCGGCCCAAACTCGCAAACGACCGAGCAACCAACATCACAGCCGCCATTCCAGTGCACACCACGATACTATGACCACATAACTTTGCTTTCGCTTTCCTGACGCGTCTTTTGCTTCTACGTCTTCTGAAACAACCATGGTTGGCGACACTACACTGCCGGCCACGCGCCGAACCACGCGCAAATCGATCAGCGCCATGGAAAGGGACAATGCGACGGTGGACCTGGGCGCCGGCATCACGCTGGCGGACAACAGGAAGAAGTCCAAGTCGCGCAGCAAGAGCATGGGTCCTGGAGGTTTAGATGCTCTCAAGGCAGGTTCTGGGAACCGTCGAGTGGTAGCACTCTCACATATCGTCCATCTTGTTAACGGCTTCTGACACGGCCATAGTCACTGGCAGGTCCCGCCCGGCCACTGCCCCGGTCTATCCTCAAGCCCACAATGCCTCTAGCCGAGATACCTGGCTACAAACCAAGACACTCTTATGCCGCCGGCGCACTGGGTACCGAGAATCAACCGGACCTGCTAAGCGGCGACGACCTCGGCTCGTCAGGTACAAAGGTTGCACTGCGAACAGAAGAGGAACAGCAGGCGGCAGCACGGGAACGGGAGGAGCGCGAGAGAGCAGCCCTGGAGAAAGAAATCAAGGACAGGAGGGAGGCCCGCCGGAAATCTCTTGCGAACCGTCGAGTTTCGTTTGCAGCCGAGGCCACTCTGCACACCTTTCATGAAGTCGAGTACATGCAAGACTCTACAGCATCCACGGACTCGACGCGCAGAGCGTCATCGGCCCCTACACCCCCCGAGGCCGCACCCCAGGAAGACCATCCCGACCCAGATGCATCGGACACACCCTCTACGCCACCCGATCAGATCGAGGAGACAGTAGCAGAGTCTCCAGAGGACCAGCGACATCTTCATCAGAGGAACCAAAGAAGAAGCTCGGGCCTGACATCAGAGGACGACTTTGACCGTCAGAACGACAACACGATAGCATCCACTATTTATGACTCCGACTCGGACGAGGGCGACGATGTCGCAGAGGTCCAAACCGAGGCATCGGGCTCGGACAGTGACTCTGACAGCGACGGGACGATGATGACTATGGAGGCTGAAGAGATGACTTCTGCATCTCTTGCATCAACGAGGTACGGAGATGAGGCCGACAACACGACCTCCAGCCTGGATGGTGCACTAAGAGAGGCCGCTCGGCGAGCTGTCAATCAAGCACGAGAGCCCGATGAGGATGAGGAGGTCATCTCGGGCTTTAAAGGGTGGGGGAGGAAAGCAAGAGAGCAGCGAGAGGCTGCTGTCATTGCTCAGGAGCCCCCATCCGAGGAGGAAATTCCCTCGAGTCCTCTTAAGTCCAGTCCTGAAAAGTCCGATATTAATGAAGGCACGGAAATGGACATGGATATGGACATGACTAATGCCGTCGGTGGGATCATCAAACAAATCATTCCGTCATCGCCAGATCAAGCAGGCCAGGAGGACATGTCAATGGACGTTACCAACGTATATGGTGGCATTCTTCCACAACTACAACCTCCGACACATGACGATGAGCCGGCTCAGGATGAACAGACTATGGAGTTCACCACAGCTGTGGGTGGCATACAGCGACCCCCGCCATCCGATGACGATCAAGAGATCCCAAGCGACGAGGACATGTCGATGGAGCTCACAACCGTCATGGGGCGTGTGCTCGGTGCTAAGAACAAACAGCTCAGGCAGTCGTTGCAGTTGAGCTCCTCGCCCGTCAAAGATCCAGTTGATGATGATGGCGATGGTGATGGGTTGATGGAGACGGCGCTGGATGTGACCAAAGGCATCGGCCGCATTCTTCCCACAAACAACGAGGATGAGTGCTTGGACGCTGACGCTGACACTGCCACGGGCATGGACCTGACCGCAGCTGTTGGTGGTATCGTCAAGCCTGTATCTCCAGCAGAAAGAACAGCTGCGAAGAAGCTTATGGAGCAAGAGGCCGACCAACCCGAGATGACCACGACACCTGATTTCACCACTACGAGCTCCCCACCGAAGCAGCCCTCGGTACGAGCCGTGGCAGAAGACTCACCCAACCTGTCCGCTCTGAGCGGCAAAAAGCTTCGACGAAGCAATGGGCTCCTGTTTCCTGCGACACCGAAGTCACCCACAAAGAATGCCAGCCCCGCGTCCCAACGCAAGACGCGCTCTCAAGGACCAGCATCGCCGGAATCATCACGCAGTCCTGCACGGAGTAGCAGCCGGACACCGTCGCCAAAGAGGCTGGGCCCGCTGTCGAGGAACCTTTCGCCTCAAGCAAAAGCCACGCCATTGTCCAAATCGCCTGCTAGGCCTTCCAGTAGTCTATTCCAGCGAGACTTGACGACTGGGTCGAGAACACCCCTGGTGGTGTTAACACCGCAGCGACCCAAGCTGTCGGGTGTTGGAGTGGACAGAAGTGGCATTGGATCACCGCGTGTCACCGAGCTTCTCGGCCGACGTAGTTCGATCGGAGACACTGCTGCCACGTTTAGTCCAATCCAACTTCCGCAACATCGCAAGGCCGTGGCATTTGAGGATCCCAGGATCATGGAAGAGGAGATCGACAGAGAACGTCGCGACGATCAAGACCGTGAAAGCGGTCGGCGTATCCTGGAGAAGGAAGCCGATGATATTACATCTAGTCTGAAGGAGATGATACAGGGCTTATCTCCGAAGAAAAATCCCCTGAAAGGCCGGAAGAGCTTGCACGTCGGCAGCGCAAGGGGCCTTTTGGGGAAGCGTCCTTCTGAGTTGGAAGATGACAGCGATGCCGAAGTGCAGGATGGCATCAAGAGGCTTAAAGGGCATCAGGGCAGTCCAGTGAAGAATATCAGACTACAACAGCCGCCATCCAAAGCCGAGACGACCGGATCACGACCTACGTTCCCACCCAATCGAGTGCCAGGCGACACCGGAAACAACACATCCACGCCCACAACGGCGCCGTCCCCATCAAGAGCGACAACTCCGAAGGAGCAAGGGCGGTTCAAAAATATAGACAACGATCAGCCGACTGCCACATTCACCTTCCATGCTACTCCACTGGCAGATCTTGCGGATCTGCAACCTCCAGACGATGATGAGGATAGGATCCACCTGCAGGACTTCCTCAACTTGACCAGCATTCGATTCATGGAGCTGACAACCACGAAGCGGCGGCATACCATTCTACCTTCATCCCGTAAGAGCAGCCTCTCTGAAGACAAAGACAGCCTTTCCCTTGAAAAGTGCGTCGTTGCCGGTGCTTGCACGGTGCCGATGCTCGAGCTATTTCAGCATTCCTGTCGGGAACTGAAGAAGTACATTTCGGAAGGTCGAAAAATTGTTCGCGAGATCGAAACGGAGACATTCCAGGAAAACCCGCCTTTGTTCCGCGAGTATATCACGGCTTCACCCGAATTCAAAAACCTCATGGACAATCAGTTCAAGAACGTCAAGACCAACGCGCGATTGCTCAGCAAAGCGATGTGGTACGACTGGAGGATGAAGCTACAAGATGGCCTCAGGGAGGGCCTGGTCAAGATTGCCGAAGGAATGATAGCGGATGAGCAGCTTCTCGAAAAGCAGCGAAAGCTCCTGTCTTCCGTCTTGCCTGCGATGATGAAGCAGCTAGACACGCTAACTCGGGAGTGTGAGAATCTCGATACTGTTGCCAGCGAGCTGGAAGACTGTGATCCTCAGGAACTGAATTCTGCCCGTGCGGACCTCGCTTCTGTGGAAGACGACATTGAGGCGAAGAGCAAGGAGATCGCACAGCTCCGAGAGCAGTTCAGAACAAGCGAGGAAAGGGTTGGACAGCTTGTGGAACAGAAGCAACGGTGCAATGCAGACATCAAGGAAGCCGAAAGGATCAGAGAGGAATGTCGCGGCTGGAGCTCCACCGAGATCAGCGCCCTCAAAGCCAAGGTCGACGCCATTGAAAAACAACACGGCTGGGCAATCACAGGAGTGGTGGGGACCAGCGTATCGGTATCCTACCGCCACGAGATCGAGCTCGTATTCGACACGGCCCCATTCAGGCCAGGACAGCAGGACTCCCGCATAGATCTCTGGTATATCGCAGCGAGCAGGGAGCGAAAGCCCGTGCCGTTGACACCAGAAAGGGAGTTTTGCCTTGAGTGCATACGCGACCATCTCCGCTGCCTGCCTCAGTCCAACACAAAAGTGAGCTCGATGCTCGGACTGGTCAGCCGCGGGTGGGACCGCGCAAACGCACTGGCCAATCAGATATACCAGCTGAACCTCGCATTTCCAACTTCAGCAGCTCGCACCTCGGACTCTTCAATCTCCATTTCTTCGACCTTACTTCTGGCCCCACTGCAGACCAAGGTTGGGGTGAGTTTGAGCGTGCAAAGCTCGGTCGGTGTCGACAGTCTCGATTTCATTGTTTCAGCTCAGGCAGCTATTGTCTACGGTGAGCAGTTCAATGCGGGCAAAATGGTAGACTTCTTGTCAAGCCGAATAGGGCAGCGTGTCTATTGTCCATCTGAGAAGGAAAGTGAAACGTGGGTCAATGTCGTCGCAGACTTGCACGCAAGGCTGCTGGCCCGAGGGAAGAAGTAAACAATGCGAGGAGTAAGGGTTGCCTGCAGCATTCTCGCACAATGGGCACCTCGCCGCGATTGCCAGAGGGTACCCAGACACCAGGTGAACAAATCATTTGTATTGTCCTGTATGACTTTATGCCTTGAATAGGAGTGGGCACAGCTTTATGGTGGAGCTAAACGAAAGCCTCATTCTGTCCGGTCTCAACGATGGTTTCTGAGTGTACTGTTTCAATGGGACCACCGCTTCAGCTCATGTCCCCATTGTGACACCTACCTACAATGTGAAATTCTGCTATATGAATGGGTGTCACCAAGATCAAAGTTTCTCGACTATTTCATGCCGACCTTCTTCCTGTACTAATTAAGCCTTCTCTATGTCTTTTCTCTACATACCGCCAGCCTCTCATACCAGCCTTCCAGTGGGAGACCAAACAGTTCACAGTCTTTCTAACAACTCTTCTGAGGAACCTTCGACCCCCCTAGCCCTTTGAATCCTATTTAAGGCTGCAGACAAACTTCAACTGCCCAGTCGCGGAGGCATCGACGCTGCCTGTTGATTCTCTGCCTATTTGTGGCATCAAGTCACCTTTTGATATCCTGCCTGCTTGCCGCATATTTTCACTCCCCTGAGGATTTGCAATCCCACCAGAACCCTCTTTCTATCAGAAGACAGCGCACCATCGCCCAGCATGCTTGACCAAGCGATGGAGCTCTTCCGCCGCCTGATTGGCATCCTCATTGCCACCTTCGATATTGCGTACACGCTCATCTACTACGCTTATGCCACTATTATCTACAGCACCGGGGCTGTCTTCCTCCTCCTCTGTTGGTGCGCATTCTGCGCGCTCACCCAGTCCGTCGCCGATCACGTCCCTATCAAAAGGTGGACTGATCGCCGCCTTCAGGATAAATTCTTGCGAAAGGTCAAGAATATGGGCTATCAAGAGCTCAACATGAGAGCCAGGCTCATCAATGTTGGAGAAGACATCAAGATGCGCAACGAGGCCAACAACCAGATTCTCAAGGAGATTTGCGACGCGGGAAATTTCAGTAAGTTCTTTTCTTTCTCCGGCGAATGTCTTGGCCTCTTCCTTTTCAAGATGACACTGGGGTTGAAACCTCTTGAAGTTTCATTGGTCTGCCTCAGCAGCGGCTATTGTGGTGTATGGAATTGCAATTACTGACAATGTCACAGTCATGAGAAAGGTTAAATACTATGAGCCTGAATTCAGAACTGGCCGCTACGACAGTAAGCGAAGCTCAGCACATGCCTACGCAATCTTCAAGGTTGCATTTGCAAGGCGTATCAGGAGAATGTCAACTATCTTTCTCTATTCAAAGCCTCATTATATCGCTTCTAGCCGTAGCCATAAATCACTGACAAGTTCTCAGTCCAGCCAGTTATTCCTGGGATGTTTATCCCCCCACACCCAACCCCGGCGGCCCCATCTCCCTTCGCCATCGTCCGCTGGTGGTTCTCACAAGACTATGATAGCCACCGCCTAGAGTGCTCCATCGCAGGCTTCTCCACACAGCTCACACAGAACAAGCAGAGGCTGAAGGCCCTGGACCAGGAGAGCGAAAGCCTGAAGCTGGAGCTGACCCAGGCCCTGGAGAGGAAGCGCCAGGTGCGGCACGAGCCCACCCTCCCGAACTACAAGCAGATGTACCGCAACTTCGACGAGGCCCTCGAGACCATGAGGACGCTCCGGCACAATCTACCCCTGCACCAGTGCACCTACGTGTGCACATGTCCGCAGGAGGCGGCTCCCTCCTACCCGGAGTGGCTTGTGCCTCCCAAGCGACTGCGACGGTACGCCGGCCCCTTTCTCCATGTCTTCCCTATTCACGTCAGGACAAAACAGCTAATATGAAGTTTCTCTACAGGTGGGAGTGGGGTTTGCTGGCCCCGGGCCAGTCGCCTCCCCGGGTGACGTCTCTTCCAGACGTCGGGAGCTGGTCTGCGCCTCCGGCTGCCCCGGCTCTGAGCCAACCTCCTCCTGCTGCCGCCACCCCATTCACCCCAGCCACCCTCGTCTCACTGCCGGCCCTGTATCTGCCGCCTCTCTTTGGGCCACCACCTCCTGCTGCCCCTGTGAGGCCTGTCACACCTCCACCACCTCCTCCAACGAGCCTCTCCCCGGCCGAGCGGCTCCGGGACCCTGCCGGTGTTCGTGCCAGGGCTCCTACCCCTCCGCCCCCAGCCAGTCCTCGCTCTTCTCGCCCTCACTCTTGAGCTCGCTGTTGAGTCCGTGGTAGTGTCCGTGGTTCGTTTGGCTGCCCGGTCGTGTTTTCGATCGGTTGTTTTTTGTGTCTGTGGGACGGTAGTTGTCGCAAACCAATGAACTTTCGTGTTTTCGATCGGTTGTTTTTTGTGTCTGTGGGACGGTAGTTGTCGCAAACCAATGAACTTGAGGTTTCTCTGCGCGGCTACTCGTTCTCAAAAGCTACCCTCGTGCCTGCTCTGATACGTGAACACGGCGATCTATTTCTCCGAATTAGTGTCCGCGAATGTCCTTTTCCGAGACGCCTTGAGAGCACTCAATAGACGCACTTAGTCGATATTCTGCGAAGTGAGCCGACATTCTGGGCTGTTTCTATGTGGGCTTGTTCGTTGTAGGCCCAGGCTCTTGGCCCCCGTACTCATATAGCCTTGTTGCAATACTAATCCTAGGGCAAGTCTTAACTGGCAAGCTAACCTTCAAATGTACTTCACTACTTCCAGTAGATAACAAATCAATCATGTGGGCACTTTTGCCGCTTGGGGATTGAATTGAGCATTTGTAACTCAGCTGAGTCTTCTTCCAATCAGCATACATGTGCCACGAAAATTACTTCCACGACCCATTGTGGTACATTTGCTGACAGGAGATTATCTATCCAGTACTAGTAGCATCATCAACCAGAGAAAGCTTTAGGTCGGCCGCTCACTTGCGAAATCTTGCTACTCTGTACCCTTCAACTAGTAACTTCAGCAGGCAAGGAAACTCCCACAACCCACCGGTCCTCGATGTCTTCGAAACCCACAATCCGCGAACATTGTTCTCCGACTCGGGACTGTCGGCCGTCCTAGTTGAGCCCTTGGCTTGACCGGCATTCAACGCCGCGTCTAGCAAGTCTCTGACGACATTTGCGGCTTGGATCCGCGGAGGACAGGCCCTTTAGAGACGGCATTTATTATGTCCACAGTGGAGGCTGGCATGGACCTCAGGTGCGGACCTCCACCTTCCAACTATGCGCTTCTGCTTCATAATGTAGTATAGCATAGTTCCGGCCCAGTAGCAGCCTCCTCCGGGCTGCATTGTCTTTCGGTGTTGGCCGACGCTGTGCCCAGTGTGTGTCGCTTGAGGGTAAGGACAAGGAATAGACCTTGTTGTCGCAAGAATCTCATGTTGGCGGAGCGTCGAACTGGCCGTCGATACGGACTCGCGAAGCCCAAGGCTAGAACAAGGAGTGGCCGTCTGGATCTAGTCCCCCCTGCCAGCATGCGCCTATCTTCGAGTCGCTTCGAATACGCATTCGCGATGACTTTATCGACGTGTCTCTGCAATTCCTGAGACCCGGTAGTACATTCTTCTTTCGAGTAACAATAGTCGGCTAGCGCCAAAGTCCTGGGAGAGCTCCATAACTGAAGAATTGCTCTTCGAAGTCCTTCATCATGCCCCCAAAGGACGTTTTGGTATCTATGGTTTCGACTTCAGCCCCGCCTCGGAACGCGATAATATCACTGCACAGGCCTCTACCCGCGACAGAGCTTCCGCCACCAGTGACACTATGCAGGGCGGCAGCTGGGCGGTACTCGGTGCGAACATCGTCCTGCCCCGGGACTAGGCGTCTGAATAGGGTGAACACGTCACCTGGGCGTACACCACTCATGTGCTTGAGTAGGTTGGCGTGCACAAACAACGGTTCTGGATGCGACGGGTCGGCTGGATCGGCACGCCCATCTCGTGGCGGACTAAGGCCGTACTGTAGCATAGCAGCGCCGCAGAAGTTGTCTCTTTGATCGCGGTTGCCCAGCAGGGACAGCCAGCGCGGGGCGGGTGTATAGGTTATCCCAAGAGCCAGGAAGGCATAGCGGCTGTATTGGTATTAGCGTGGTTAATTCCCAACAAGCAATGAGAAGGCGTGATGTCGGCCTTGAGATTCCCAGCTTACAATGTATCCTTGTCGCCACCGCTAAACCAGAAGTCCCCCTCCTCAGCCATGTACTGAGCCAGATACAATGCGGCGAGGTTCAGTCCATCGTTGCCGGACTTCGCGATGAGTATCTGCCCACTGTCATGCTCCCAGGCATTGTGGCAGGGGATACCAAGCACACGGTGGATGGCATTGTCCGGATGGTCACGGTTCAGGTCTGGCCAAAAGACGGCGTTCCCTCCTCGGGCATCCCGGAAAAGGGATGAGTCGAAGAGGGCGCCCACGTCGGACAAGGGATAGTTGTCCGAGTCTAGGTAGAGCACCTCGTCAAAGGAACTGCGAAGGATGGCCTCGGCCTTGAGCTCAAAGTTCTTCCAGCGGCCGGGGGTTTTCTGGGTCGAGACCTGAGAGCCATGTGAGCATCGTGCATGGGGAAAAGAGACGGCCCCGATGAAGCCAATTGCGCTGCACATACCATGTGAGGAGTGGCGCCGAGGTCTCTCAGCTGCTGCCTCTGACCCTCGTCCGTCAGCTCGCCCTCAAAGTGGAACACTTCTATCGCGCCACGCTGCCATCCCAGCTTCTGGATCTCCTTGATGCACCCGATGGCCCTGTCTACAGTCCTGTGGTTTCCTGCGGCAAATACGATGCCGCGCGAACCCTGGCGGACGGGCTTCCCATCTAGACCAAACCCAGGGCCGATGAGGGCAGCCTCTCCCTCGCTGGCGGTATGCTGCTCGAGATAGTCCAGAGCGCCTCTGCGCATGCGGTCAATCGTCTCGGGATCGACGGCGAGCCATTTCTCGTGGTCGTTTTTGAGCTGGTCCGCGTTGACCTGGGCATTGGCTTGCTCCAGGGGGCAGGCGTCCTGGTTCTGTTGGCTGGCCTGCTTGTGTGTGAGGACAGGCCTCGAGAGGAACCTGTCCACGGCCTGTGCGAGCTGGGGGTAAAGTGCAATGGGCGTGCCGAGTGAGAAAGGCGGCGGCAGGTAATCCGAGACCTGAGCGACGTCGAAGACCTTTGGTGTCTCGACCCATGCTGGCAAGTGAGCCGCGCCTGCTTGATTGGGTTGGCCCCGGCTCGGCGGGCTCCCGGGGCTCTTGGGGGCCTCGGGGGTGGTGCTTTCTGGTTGGGCAGGCGGCTGCAAGTGCTGTGCCGTGCTGCGCCAGTCGAGACGAGTGCCGCCGTGGTACGCATATATTGTGAAGCAGAGGATGCTTGCAGTCATGGACGCGAGGACCCAGGCAGGCCGCCTCTCCAACTTTACATGGCCAATCCGAGCCATCGCGATCCAGCGCTGGCGGGTGCGGGTGCGGGTGCGGGTGCGGGTGCGAGGTCGAGGGCAGCAGAGCATCAGCACGACCAGAACGCAGCAACTTGCGGCGGTGGCCTGTTTGGCATGGCGCGGTCACAATTGCCCACACTGATGCGAGCTGCCCTCTGACGTTTCAACAGGTGTCCGTAGCCGTCTGAGGATTGGGTTGAACGAATCAGTCCCCGGTACTTGCAGGCCACAGCATGATCGCTGACGTCGCACCTCGGTGCATTTACTATGCCCCGTGTGGTTTTACTTTCTATCGTCACTGGCCCCCTGATGCCTCTACTTCATGTGCGGCGGGGCATCGGCTCGCCTTGGAAGGTCAGACGCAACCGAGTGCAGGCCAAGCTCCTATGTAGAAAACATCGAGACGGCAACCGCCATGCACCGCCCAGGCCCAAGGTGACAGCTGTCGGCCTACGAGTCCATCGCTGCTGCGTTGGTTACAACTACACGGGCAACAAGCGTCTCCAGTCCGGCACTGGTACTGGCACGGGACGTATGGGTGCGTCTTCTCTAGTCCCTCTGTTTCTTTGGCAGAGGAGAACCTCAATCTCGGGTCTGTCCATTTTGCTACGTACGCAATCCCAACCGCCCGGGCTTCACAGGGCTTCATCAGGCCGGGGAAGACCGGGTTGTCACTCGGGCAAACCTGTCAGCCGACTGCCCTGCCACAGGTTTTGTGTAGTCTACCACCGCACACCGCGCGAGAAAGCGGAATTGTATTAATAGAATTGTTCAGTAATCCAACTATAGCCAGCTCAGAATCCTGCTTGCCTCCCCGAATCCGCAAACCCCAAGTTGCACATCTTTTACAGGCCGCGGGACAAGACGGAATACGCCGCCAGCTGTCGAGAGGCAAGCGGTCCCTCGCCCGCAGTTAACGGATCCATGCAACTGCTGCCCGTATCTCGGCCCTCTCGAGGCATGACACATAAGATTTGAGTCGGCAGTCTGTGCCTCCCCCGGGAGTATCTCACGGCTGGCTCCAACTTCTGCATCTCTTGTTCTACCGGCCCACAAGCATCCTACCACTTGTCCCTCAAGATGACTTCCAAGGCTGTCTTCATCCTCGTCCCCGGGGCATGGCATGGCGCCAGCACCTGGGACAAGGTGGCTCGTCTACTCGAGGAGAAGGGTCACCGCGCCATCGCGGTCAATCTTCCGTCCACGTCAGGGGATGCTGCCGCGACTTTCGGTGACGACGTTACGCATGTACGCAGCCTGATCCTCGGCGAAGTCAGACAGGGCCACCACGTGGTCGTGGTAGTCCACTCCTACGGTGGCGTGGTCGGCGAGAGCGCCGTCAGGGACGTGCCCACAGCTAGACACCCCAGCCCAGACATCGCCCACGGCAAGGTGATCGGCCTCGCCCTGATGGCAACTGGCTTCAACGTGGCCAACATGTCCTTTATCGAGGGCTTCGACGGTAAACCGCCGCCAATATGGCGTGCAGACGAGGAGTCCGGCTTCGTGGTGTTCACAGACGGCACAGACCCGGCGGAGCTGTTCTACCATGACCTCCCCACCGAAGAGGAGAAGCAGTACTGGGTGTCGACCCTGACGAAGCAGAGCATCAAGTCTCTGTACGAAGGCCGGGAGCATTCGTACGCAGGATGGCAGGACGTTCCGTCGTGGGTCCTGATGACGACAAAGGATCGGCCGTTGCCTGTGGAGGCGCAGAAGATGATGATCCAGACGGCTGTGGACGCCGGGGCGAGTGTGGAGATCAGGGAAATAGACAGTGGTCACAGTCCGATGCTTTCAAGGCCAGAGGAGACAGCATCGTTCTTGGTTGAGGCTGCAACGGGCCTTGCAGGCTGAGAAAGTCACCGCCATGTACTTTCCAGGGGTTGCCACTTGTGACTCTGTCCTCAGACCGTGGCACAAGTGTGATCTTCAATAAAAATCTCAACTCTTCCGCACAATAGACTTGGCGTGTCATGCGCCAGTGGTGCTTCTAATTCCGTACCCGAGAGATGATGGGTCAGTCCAAGGGTGGTATACGTGGTAGCACAGAAGCTGCAAGCTGTCTTTATGTGTTCTCGACCGTGAACGGTTTGGCGGTCAATGGCGCCAGATGTTCGGTTTCCATGATAAAACAAGTCATTATATCAAGTCGGTCAAAAGACAAATCGCGAAGGCTTGGGCCATGGGGACCTGTCAACGCCCACACTTCATCGCCATCAAACTGTGCCGAAAGTCTCGAATTGTCACCACACCTTTACAAATTGTGGATTCCACCCACAAAGACGCCGGTTATGTTCGTCCCCCCAACGCCAGTGTATACAAATGGTCCAGCAGGCCGTCCAAGACCCTGACAACGCCGGCTGGTATATGAAGTGACTTTCGTTCAAGCCGTGCTGCCGTTGTTCCCCCTTCAATTCCGACCGGCAGCACTCCTCTCTGCACTGAAGTTGCTGGTACAAGCCAGCAAGAACTTGCAGCATGTCAATGTCAGTTTGCAAGCCCTGGTCCAGCTGTCATCCTGAGCCAGACCGAGCTTGATACTGACGTCCTCGATCTTGTCACCCTCAATTTTATAGGGCAGCATTAGGGCCTGATCACTAAGCCCGTCACTAGCATTCTGTCTCTCGACAAAGGCACCGAGCTGCCGTACCAATTCCAGGAATGCGACCATGGCGTTGTCGAACTTGCGATGCATGAATGTGAGACCCAGAGGCATGTCGCCAGATGAGTACAGCTCAAGAGTGTGCTTCTTGGGTGCTGGCGGCGGCGCGTTCCTGTGGCTGCCGAGCCGGCTGGAAGAAGGGGATATAGGGTCGTAACGGATTATCTTGGAAGTTGAGCCCATGGGCACAGGCTGGTACCCGTCGAACTGGTAGCCGAGCTTATCGGCGACTGTGACTAGCAGCAGGAGAGCATGGCCCCAAGCCGCGTTAATTTCGGGCCAGTCGACGGGCTTATTCGACAAACGGCCCAGCCGGAGCGAGTTGATGGTCGCGAAGTAGCCGTCAAAGCTGATACAGAAGGTGTCGTTGTAGACGTTCGACCTCTGGAGCTTCTCGAGCAGGCGAGAGTCGTGGTCGAACTTTGAATTGATGCTGTCGCGCTCGTTCTGGAAGTCTGTCAACTTCATGGCAAAAGCGTTGCGATCCCGCCAGAACTGCTCCTCGTCGGCGTCGAGCTGGCGTGATTCATCTTCTAGTCGGAGAACCTGGTCATCCAGTTGCGCCTTCTCATGCTCCAGTCCCTTCAAAAGTGCGAGAGCCTCCGCCTCACCCTGTTTTGTCTTTGCCAGGGACTCCTCTGTCGCTTTGAGCTCGTCATCCGTTGGCGCTTCTGCTTGCATTTCCTTCAAGTACGCCACGTACGCCTCCCGTTCATGGTTCGCCGTTTCGAGTTTCTTTTGCAGGCCTTCCACAAGCATTTCGGTACACTCCACACAGATTGGGTGATCCACGTCCGACCTCGCCGAGAGGATCTCATGGAGCTTGGTGATGCGCTCCATCTCGTGCGACTTCGAACTGCCATCGTCTGCCGCCTTTTCCCCTGTCGCTCGCCGAGAGAGAGGCTGGCTAGGCAAGCGGCTCGAGTTCACAACCTGGGATTCTGTAAGGTATATGAAGGACATTCCCGGATTGTCTCGTTGTTGTCCTTCGCCTGGTCGTGCTGCGCCAGTAGGCTTCCTGAATGTGGCCGGCCCGACATTTTTGGAGACACGGTCGTATAGCGATTTTCTAGCTTCATCTTGCGTGTTTGTGGTCCGGGAGGGAAGATGTCGTTTCGGGGTGGGCTGGGACGATGCTGCTACAGGAATGTGAGCACAATGAATTGGACTGGGCCTCGTCGTGGTGGCGAAGGTGAGAGGCATCCTTACCGACAAGTAGGTCATATGCTGCTGGATTTAGGTCCTCTAGGGAGCTGTCCAGCTTGAGAGGGGTTCGGCACTTTTGGCAGTACATTCTCAATGACGTGCTCGTGCAAGCTGCACGGCGTTGGTAAGGAAGAGGAGGTTGCCTACATGTAGAAAGATATGAGGCTTTTCGCGTAGGTGAATAGCCCGCAGAAGTGTCGAACTGACGTCGTCGAGAGCAAGCTGCCGAGGTGGAAGGAAGCCTGCCTGCACAGTCAGGCCACCGAGTACCTAGGTAGATACATAGGTAGTGTAGGTAATATGACAAGCGACTTGCCTGCCTGGGTGCCGAGGCCGGACCCGAAGGCCAAGCTCCCCAAACTCAGCCCTACGGCTTCAGGGGCCAAGGGTCTATCTCCAGGCCGCCCCACAGCGCGTTTTGACGCGTCTCATTCTCGATGAAACTCCCTATCCTCGCATCATCGCTTCGACCACGGGGTCACATCCCCGTCCCACCTACAAACACAACATTATGGAAAGGCCTGTCAAGCGACAAAGGATTGCACTTGACCCACTTGGCACCGACGACGAAGACGAGCTCGACTGTGAGCCTAACGAGCTCAACCAGAGGCGAGACCCTGTTTACCAGCTCGAACAAGCCAGGGCCCGTGCTTCAAACAAGCTCAAATCCAGGTTTGAGGACATCTTTGCGAAGTACGAAAAGGACTTCACAGGTGTTGGTGACGAAATCGACCTGAGAACTGGTGAAGTTGTCGTGAACAATGGACATCTGCAGTCAATCACAGGCATCCAGGTGTTCGGAGAAGGTGACGAAGATGAAGACGAAGATGCTCGATTCTCAGGAAGCGACCGCCCTATTCATGGCGTAGTCGATGAGGCCTTGAAGAATGAGCTATCAGACGCTGTGGTGCGAAGGAGCCCATGGGAGGTGATAGGCTCGAATTCAGATTGGTCCCGGCCTGCAGCTGGCGTTGGAGGAGTCCCGGGGTTCTCATCTATGATTCCGCCGGCTCACGAGCCCTTCGTGTCACCACTTCAGCCCTTAGGCTCTTTGGAACATGGAAACACGCAGGTTGTGGACCCGGCATGGCAGGCTCCCGAACTCCCTCGGTCCGCATTCATGAGTCCACGCTTTGGAGCACAGGGACAGCAACATATGTTTGGTATGGGCCAGACCACCAAGGTGACTAGGAGGTCATTGCTGGAGCCCAGAAGCCAAGACGGTGAAGAAGAAGATGTCCTCCTGGGCGCCCCCGACAATGTTCTTGGGAAGAAGGAGTCGCCCTTGATCAAGAGTAAATTCCCTGCTGTCGGAAGCAGCCCCAAACAACGATCCTGGCTTGCATGAAATGATTCGAGATGTGATCGAAAACATTGCGGACACGTCACCATCATCGGAGCAGTCGAGAAAAAGCCGACCAGGCACAAGGCAACCTGCAAAGCCCAGGATGAAGCCAGTCCGGCCAGACGCAGACATCGACTGCAAACAGGGTAAGAAGCAGACAAGCAAGAACCGGACAAGTTCAACAGGCAAAGTGAAGGCGGTCTCCTCCAACCGGACGGACGGAGAAAGTCCTTCCTACAACAAGGGGCGAGGCCGTCAGATTATAGTTACATCTCCAGCGAAGGTCGCCACAATCCGCAAAAGAGAGCAGCCGAAGACCCATGACGAGCAGCAAACAGTTGGTTCAACAGGGGAGCCAGATCATTCAGGCGTGACAGAAGACTTCTTGGATATCACTGGAAACACACCTGTCAAACCAGCTGGGCAGACTTTTTATGTCGAGATCAAGGCAAGAAAGGTCGGCCAAAGCGACTCTTTTGCTCGAGATCAGGATGATAAGGAATTAACAACAGTCGGCAGAGGCTGTCTAGGCGTCGGGGTGTCGGATCAAACGCTGCAGCCTCCATTATATGGACCGTCGGATGTTGAAGAGAAGGCAGCCGACGCAGGTACCCTGCTATCTGGAAAAGAGAAGCGTGTGTCCGCGCCGACTGGAATTGACGACCAGGCACTACATGAAGCACGACCAAGTGTACCGCAGAAGCAAGCTCAAGATCGGTTCGAAAGGAATTTTGTAGACCCAAGCTACGCATTCTCAGACGAAGAGAATCTGCTGCCAAGAAGGAAGAGGAACAGCCGACGCAACCCAGAGCCGGCAAGTCGCGCCAGTCTGGCTGCGCAAGATACCTCGCGAGTTGGTGAACAGGCAGAGGCTGGGAAGTTTCCGCAGGTGGCAGTCGCGCTTGATGCTTCGGACCAGGAGAAACGGGATCGAGCTGCGCTGGCATCGCCACAGCCGAGTGTGGAAGGCGAGGCAGAAATACATACGACCGTCTCCAAATCAAGCCAGGAACAAAGGTCGGAACAAATGGTTTCTTACGATCCCTTAGCCGTACCTCTGTCTGCGTCACACCTGCAAACCCGAAGGAACCGGACAGAAGGACCGGCAGAAGAGCAGCCTAAACAACAAGCCACAGAAACACTACAATCCCGGTCACTCAGAGGCTGTTCTCGAAATAAGACTGGTGATGATCTCCATGGCCCATCTGAATTCGGACACAAATCGCCTCCAGTCGTTGCATCAATACCAGCTGTTGCGGAAGAGGGGGGTCCGCCCTCAGCAAAGCCACCAAGGACAGCAGAGCCTGCCCCAATACCGCCATCGACACCTCAGCCAAAGTCCAAGTCAAGGTCTGAGAAGACCGGGGTCTCCAGATCAGGACTCATCTCTCTCCTATCGGACGACGATGACGAAGAAGACGAGATCTCCTTCGATCTCGCCGACTTTACGCCCTCGGGGCACCACCGCATCCTCGCCTTGCGCCCGCACCATCACCAGCCAGCCACGTCAAGTACAGGCAAGAACAGGTGCGTCGCTAGCCTCCTCTTCGGCCCAGCCTCGACTTCCAAGGTTAGCAAGCAGAGCACTCCAGGTTCAACCAACAAGAACAGGAAAAGGAGGCGCCGTAGCAAAAACACCCTGGTAGGAAGCGTGGTCAAGGTTAGGCGTGACAGTCCTCGGGCGCCGAGTCCGGCGGTCTCGGTGGTACAGACACCTGGGGGCACGAAGAGGAGATGCGGTGAGGATGGGTTCCGGTGCGAGAGAGACTTCTGTTTTGTCTGCATCAGCATATAAGTTGCCACGTCACTGTAGGTGGAAGACGTCGGTATCAGTGAGAGAATGAGAGCCTGGCCTGTGAGCACGATGGGTTGGATCCGACAACAGCCATAAATCACGGCGTGGGGGAGAAACTTGCTGCCATCCGGCACGTTCATATTATTCGCCAGAAAGTGTAAAGCCTATGAAAACTGTGCTCGCAGCATTGATGGAAACCCCTCAAACGACCTGATTATGCAAAGTTTCCCACTATTCCCCCCACGTGAGAAAGTACCAACGCCTCTGCCACTGCGGCCGGGGAGTCTATCCGCCATGCCCGGCATGTGCAGTTCAATCCCCCTACTTCGCTTCTTCGGCAACACGCCACCACGACACACTCCTGCTCAATGGGTGCTTATCGTGAGTCACCGCAGAGACTGAAACAGTGCTTTCTTGGCATTGGGGGCAGGGTGTGCATTGACTGTAGCGTCTCTGGAGTAGTGGGTGGGTTCCCAGCGCAGCCTAACGACGAAGGGCACGGTGCCCATGGGCGGAATGCATTGGCTACAAGACGCTCAATCTTTGCTTCCAAGCACTGCAAGATAAATAGTAGTACGTAAATCCCGGGGCCGGCATGCAACCAGGCTTCACGTTTTGCACATCTCCCGTGGAAGCAGTGCATTCGTGCCCCCTGGTCACCCTCCTTGATACTGCTCTGATGGAGAAAGACAGTGTTCCGGGGTACCTCATCGGCGAACACAGACCATCAGACCGTAGAGTCTCGTTGTTGGTGGGCTACTTTACTGCGCCATCAAGAATTGACAACTCCAGGAGCGCCAGCCAGGTACGCCTGGAGATTGGCCTCGTCGCGAATGGGGTTGAAGTATGGGTGAGCCATGGCCTCTTTGGCGGTCAGACGCTCCTGTGCAAGGCGTCAGGGTGATGATATGAACCTGGCAGGACAAAGAGACATACCTGGTGATCGTAACGCAAGAGCTTGTCGAGGAAATCAATAGCCTCGTTGCTGACAAATCGCTGATTATCGGCATTGACGAAGCTGTGCCAAGGTTTCTTCTGGAAGCGGCCGAGGATGTCGTCGTACTGAGCGTCAAGCTCAATCTCATACTTGTCCAAGTAGTCGAACAGGTCATCGGTACCCAAGACCTTGGCTATCTTGACCAGCTGGTCGCTATTAGAGTTGCCATGGAAGAAAGGCTCTTTGCGGAAGATCATGGACGCGAACATCGCTCCAAGACTCCACATGTCCAGGCTGTAGTCGTACTCCTGGAAATCAACCAGGAGCTCTGGGCCCTTGAAGTAGCGGGAAGCCACGCGCACGTTGTATTCGGTGCCGGGGTGGTAGAATTCGGCCAGACCCCAGTCGATAAGCCGAAGCTGTACAGATTTCAGTGACCGCTGCTTGGAAGGACGGACCAGGCGGGCTCGAGGGATTCCTACTTTTCTGTTCTCATGGTCGATCATAACGTTATGAGGCTTCACATCACGGTGCATGATGCCCTTGCTGTGGCAGAAATCCAGCGCCTTGAGGAGCTCGGAAATGTAGAAACGAACATCGAAATCGTTGAACTTGGGGTACAGGCTTCGGAAGTCGGTATTGTTCACGAACTCGAAGATGAGCGAGGGCGTCTTGCTCTGTACGCACTCAATGTCAGTAACAGAGTTCTCTTCCTGTTGACCCAAAGGCATCTGACAATGGGGAACTCAGGGGCGCAAGCGCAAGGACTAAGAAGGGGGGGGGGCGGGCTCGAGAAGTCGGACTGGTAATCACCTGTGAATCGCGGACGACGTCTAGCAATGCGACGATGTTGGGCCCTCCGGCCAGGTTCTGCAGGATCTTGATCTCACGCTTGATCTTCTTTTTCTTCACAGGCTTGAGGACCTTGATGACGCATTTCTGGTAGTTTACCACGTTGACGCCCTCAAACACTTCGCTATATTTCCCACGACCTGCGCGTCGCCCCCTCCAAAGTCAGTTTGCCCTCAGTCACCGTGTCGCAGGATATTTTGATGGGGGGCACAAACCGATCTTCCGGACGACCTCGTAGTTCTCCAAGACACCCCAGCCTGGTGAGCACGCATGTTAGCAAGTGGCAGATATTGTTGCGCGCCACCTCGAGCTGCCATAGCGATCTGGCTCGGCCGGCAGGTGGGACATACTGATGTTAACGCTGTCGTAATCCCAGTATGCCCGAGGCATGTTCTGGTTGACGTCCGCGTAGACCCGCGCCATGTTGACCAGTGTGCGTCGACTACGCACCTATTCACTCGGCGGTAGACAGGTCGGCGATGAAGCTGCAGTCGTCTGGTGGGTGGGGTCGTGGGCCAACGACGGTTGTGAGGCTGGACAACAGTATGGGACCGCGATTCGAATCAGGGTGGGATGTCGTTATCTTTTAAGCTAGTGCCAGTGCCGTAGACATCAGGGTTCGGGGTGGGCACTGCCGCGTTGGGGGGTCCGAACTGGAGGACCTCGACGAGGCCGCCCCCTCCAGGCCGAGAGGAAACAGGCAAGGCTGAATTTATTTTTTGTCACCAAATGGACGTACGAGGCCTTGTCTCAGTGTCACTTATTGTCTGATTGTGAGTCACGAACTATCGGAGGCCTCGCCTCAACAACATGCTAAGTCGAGAGATTCCCTGAACATCAGTTACAAACGGGAAAGACGGCCAAGGTACAATTCCATGTCTTCGAATTGCCATGGGGCGGAGACGAGAACATCAGCAAAGCTGGCCGGCACAAGCGAAATATATACATGTACAAAGTAAACACGCCCAGGGATGCTTATTACCCGATATCTGTGCTCGCTCAGGGATGGTCTCAGTGTGCACGGTGGTGACTGACTTGGTGGTAGCTGATTGAACTACTGCAGGAAATCCAAGACCAGGTACGAGATGTCTGATCCCCTTTACAAATGGGGCCTGACCGCTCCATCGGCTGCAAGTCAACACCACGGTGAGGCCTCTGCTGCCTATCTGAATGCAAAATTTCTATTCGCACCACCACATCTGCCCATGCAGTGCCGTCAAGGTGCACCCATGGTCTCCTTGCACAGAGCTGCACGAGCCCATTCTTTCTCAAGCTTGTTCAGCTCAAGTCAAGCAGGGCCCATCCGGCTCTGTGACGAGGCCACCGTCACGAGCTCCCCACTGGGGCTTCACCACATATACCGCAGCCGCTTCTAAGCGGCAAGCATCTCCAAACACTTTGGTTGGGCACTCCAGTCAGACTGGAGCCTGGCCATGTCAGTAAACAATGCCCTACAGTTTAGGAGACGAGGGAAGAGATGTAAATGAGTGTTTTTCAGAGAGAAGATTACAACTCGACATGTTCCTTGTGCGAGGGCGTCGGGCATAGCAGACAGGCACATGGCCGACACTCTCCCTCCGGACTTCCGCCTAAGGATGACGATACGATAATGATTTCATCACATTGGGAATCTAATGAAAAAGAACCAAGAGGAACTCACAGTATCGATTGATGCTGGGAATTTGAGAGCCTTGGTCGCGGGACCGATAGCACTAGGGCCATCATCGTGAACAGTCGTCTGGTCCAGCAGACCATCACCCGTCATCATACGTGATTCTTCGCCGTTGTCTCGCCGGACTTGTCTGAGTCTGTGACTGACCAGATTCCCCGTAATCCAGGCCGTCCAGTCCGGTCTCGACGACATCCCACGTCCTCTTGCGGCGTTCAGGGTCTGGCGAGTAATGACGCTTGCCATTACCACTGCCCCTCTTTTTCTTCTTCTTGTTCTTCTTCTTCTTCGTGGCGACGACGCCCGCATTCGATACGTCATCTAGCAGCTCGCCGTCTTCGCTCCTGTCATCTTCAAGGGCTTCCACGGGAACATGCGTTGGTGGTGTTGACGATGAGTTGCGTCTGGTTGAAGCTCTCTCTTGCGCTTTCTGCAGGGCCTGCGTCTCGGAGTGTCGAAACATGGCAATTTGCTCGTCGGTCAGGGTGCGTTTCACGCCGTCTGGATAATACCCTAGCCCGTCCTCGTCCTCGTCGTCTTCGAAGTACGATTCATTGTCGCCCTCATAATGCTGGATCTCGGGGTCCTGTTTCGCCTTGTCTGGGTTGAGAAAGTCTGTGGTAAAGGCAATAGTCGAAGCTTCGCCAAAATGTGTGTTTTGGAATGAGTACAGGTCCGCCTGATTCGAATGATGTCAGTGGATGCACTTCTGGTCGTGCCATGGATAGAACGTACTTCGGTTACATGAGGGACGAGAAAAGGTAGCTGCAGGTCAGACTGCCTCAGTTGCGACATCTTGTCCACGGCCGTTAAGCGGCATCCTCGGTGCTTGAGAGCCGCGCCGTGGTGGTAGCGAACGGAAAGATATTGTCGAGAGCAGTGGCTCTGAGAAAGAAGGACTCCTCAGACTGACCAGATTAAATTATACCAGAGCTGCTTCTCAACACCTTGAAAGCAGTCCTGATTAATTATTCTCCTTGCGACCATCGCATAGAAAGAGTGTTTGGGAGAAGAGGTGAGGAGGCAGAGGGAGCAAATTTGGAAGCTTGTGCCAGAGGAATTGGGAGCTTCCCCACGCTAGACTGGACCTACCAGGTACCTAGTGAGGTGCTTAGGTACCCAGGTACCTATTCTGCAATTAGTACCTAGACTACCTAGGTCCTCTGCACTCTTCGTCTTGCATCTGGGAACGGGGTCTGATAAGGCTGGGCCACACACCCAGACAGTGCAGCACGTCAGATGGAGCCAGGTCAGTTCAGAATAATATCAAGAGCAATTCATTGGGTATCTCTAAACTTCCCAGCGCAATGCCACCATTTACACGTCATGTGGAGCCAGTCCAGCACAATCAGTCGCACGTGCAGTAAGAATAACACAGAACAACGAAACCCCAACCTTGCCTCGCACAACGCCGGACCGTGTCTCAAGTAACACCAATACAATATCTTAGAAGCGATGTCAAGATTGGCTGAGAAGTTGCATGGCGCTCTGGAAGGCTTGCATCACCTGCTGGTCTGGATGCAATGGGTCAGCTCGAGCTGGCCGGAAATATCCACCTCGCCTTTGGACTTACAGTACTGCTTCTTCTTCTCGAGGTCTGCTTCTCTGAGTTGGACATACTGAGTCCGTGTTTGCAACCTGCCGTGATAGTCAGTCAAGTTCCTTTGCCACAAGCCACCTTCCACCGCGCTCACCGTTTCGTTGCACGTTCATTGTCGTGAGCAGATGCAGCGGAAGCCCAGATATTAAAATACTAGAGGTTTGTCAGTCACAGCACTGACAAGCCATCATGAGCGGGTCTGGATGCATACTCTGACGAGGGCCTCGAATTCTGCCATCAACGCTTGTTCATTTTGATTCGCATCGGCCAATGCCGCCTCGAATCGAGCCTCAAGGTCCTCCCAGTCGAAAGACGAAATGCTCCTGACAGTTCCCGGGGTGTCTGGAGTAGCAGACCGCTCAGGGGCTAGATGGGCAGCATGCGCAAGGCCATTCGCCTGAGAACGGTGCTTGGTACCCGTAGGTTTAGAGAGGGTGACGATGCGCGGCTCGGGGGTTTTGGAGTTGGCTGGTCGTGGCAGTCGACTTTGGTGGGGGGAGAAATCCATCCTGGCGTCCCTTCCCCCGGTCTCCCCATGCTCTGCCTCGAGCTCTTCTTCCTCATGTTGACACTCCAGCTCAGCGCTGACAGGCGGTGAATGTGAAGATCTGTCTGGTAGGTGAGCATCAGGGGATTCTGCCGGTGGCAGCGGAGGCGTCGTGGACCCATCTGCGTTGTCCATCCTGGCTCCTCGCGGCAGGACCTGGAAATCTGCCGCACGTCTTTTGGCAGCCTACAATGAGTTCCAGTGGGCAGGCGGTCGAACCGTTGGCTGCTCTTCTCTGTAAGTCGGAGGTCTCCCAGGTCCTGGATGCGAGCCAAGGAGGGAGGCTCAAGGTGTACAGTTCACCTGAAGCTGCTTTGCGCCTGACGCGTGGGAAGGTGAGATTGAGTTGGTGCAAAGAATCGGGATTAGCACCGAGGACTCGAGATCAGATGGAGCCGTTCCACAACAAGTGAGTGGTGTCGTCTGTGGGGTCCCCCGGGTTGTCCCACTAGAGGTATTGACGACTATCCAGTTCGCTGGTTCGCCTATGTGGTGACAAGTACCTAGGTAGGTAGGTAAATAGGTACCGAACAAGGACTTTGCCGGCCTTCAGATCCGAATCAGGTTGCTGTCTACCTGAGAGATCATTGCAGCGGTTAGGGACATGCGGCCTTCCTAGCAAGTACATAGGCCCATCCCTGTCTTGGCAGGCAGGTGCGCATTGCAGGCAGCCACGATAAGAGCTCCGATAAGGCCTGTTGACCTGCCGATTGTCCCTGTGACCTCATCTGCATCCGCTGCCCCAGTCCATCGCCTCTCTCTTACTTCTACTCCTGATATCACAAGCTCACTGGAACGCGCCCCCGTCGCCCGTGTTGTGCTTTTGCAATCTCAGCACTTTCGAACACAGGACAAGATGATACCACCAAAAGACAACTAGTAGAATCCGGAGTCGATAGACCGCCTTTGGCCATTTGCGTTCAACCCGGGTCGGAACAGAGATCGCCAGGCCTATACTGCCCCTGAGGCTTGCTTGCAAGATGAACTGCGACATATGTCACCGACCCCATCATCCGCAAAAGCTTCCCTTCCTTTGCGCGATTGACTCCAGGAACCGGCTTTACGCCGGCCGCATCGCTCATGCAACTGCGTTGATCGAGAACGAGGCCCTCAGTGTCGAGATCAGCTCCGCTCTGACAGGCACAAATCCTCCCTTGAGCAGCGATGATGTTGGCAAGAACATCTATGTCGAGAGGCTGAGGTCTGAGGAGGCGCAGGCCGCGGATAGGACGAGCCAGATCATTGCACAGGCCGACAAGCTACGCACTGAAATTGACACGGCGCGAAAAGAAATTGCCGAGCGCAAGAACAAGAACGCCAGGAGAAAATCAGACCTGGCTGAGGCTTCCAATGGCATCGAAGCGAGACGATCTAGGCACCTGGATGAGGCCGAAAGGGCGATCCAAATGACAAAGTACAAGTGGAATCGTAGCTTTGAGAGCATGGCTGCCACCAGAAGCTATCTGTGTATGGAAGCTGCGAGGCTGTACGGGCTTCATCGCATCAAGAAAGGCAATTCGGTGAAATTTGAACTGGCTGGCATTGAGATGATCGAGCTGCCTGGCATGATCAGTGAGTATCTTCGTGCAACAGGGGACTTGCAACGCACGTGCGCTGACTTCTTCCCAGCCGCATCACCAGAGGCTATTTCAACGTCCCTTGCGCACATCTCGCATATCCTGATGTTGGCTTCTCACTACCTGGCAATACGCTTGCCGGCTGAGGTTACACTTCCTCATCGTGACTACCCGAAACCAACGATCTTTTCGCTAGCATCCTCCCACCGTCATGGCGAGGTGCCGTTTCCAGGGACTGTCTTATTACCTCCAACTGAGCCGCGGGATCAGAACCAAAAGCATATCCCCCGGCCTCGGCCACTCTACATTGACAGACCGCTTTTAGTACTGGCGAAAGAGGATCCTTCCACATACTCTCTATTCATCGAGGGTGTTGTGCTGCTAGCTTACGATATTGCATGGGCCTGCTGCACGCAGGGAGTGCCCATAGGCGACAAGACGTCCTATGAGGATGTCTGCAACATGGGTCGCAACCTGTATAATCTACTCATTGGCAACCAGTTGACCAACAACCCTGCTGCCCGACTTGTCCAGCCACCACCATCTCCCGAGGCTTCTAACGTTCCAGAATCAACAGAACAGGCCAAAGATCATCTCGGGGGCAATGCGAAGCCCATGATGGGGCGATTTTCTCACGGAACTGTTCACACGTTCCTCGGGAGCGCTGAAGGCAACGAGTTCACTCGGGTTTTCAAGCTTCCCAACCCAGTGAAATTGGCAGACCGCCTCAAGAAGAAAATGTTGAGCGATGCGGATGGGCTTGATTGGGAGATGCTGAATGATGACGCCTGGGCAGTGGACGACCCGATGGAGGAAGGGGTCCAGGGGAGAGGGAAGCGGCAGGGTGAATCGGCGGGTCAGAGATTATTCGGCGTCGAAAGCGTCATGTCCACTTCGACGGCGAAGAATGCTCTAGACTCCACAGTTGCAGACTTCGCACAAGTGTCTCTGGGCGAGGCTTCCAGCCCGGAACGACCTAAGGCATCCGGGACAAGCGGCTGGACAAAACTCAAATCAAGGTGACCAGGAAAATCCACTGAAACTGACGGCAAGACGCCGTAGAGTTTCGGAGAGTCCAAGAAGTCTGAGAGCAAATGGAGGTATAGGGCCATGTTACCGTGTTCATACAAATCGAGGTATGTCATGCTGTGTCCTCAATATAGGCCTCGAAGAATGCACAAACAAAAGTCGGCTGCTGCCTCCGCCATGTTGTTGCACAGGCACCTTGCCATATGAAGCCATATGCCGTGAACGCCCAATATTGCCAAACGGTTCACTTCTTGTGTGAGGCACAGCAATCATAGCCTTTCTCACCTATTGGCTGCGATCGATCCTCCCAGCTCAGATGGCTCTTTTGTGGCAGCTCATGCAGTCAGCAACACCCCCGACCCCCATTGGATCCCCGCTGCCAGCCTTGAGATGTCGCCGAAAGCATCACCCGAGCTAGAGCAAACATTAATGGAGGTTGCCTTGTTTTATTATGCCCATGTCATGCCGGCCCTTGCTCACTTGCAGCCAACTCGTGTGGCACATTCAGGCAGCCATACGGGCTTCCGCCTATAGGAGCGAGCCTTACGGTCGTCGCCGTTTGGAGTAATGAGGCTCTGTGTATGACGGGTATGTAGAGTTTCGTGACTGGATGAGCTCGAGTATAATATGCTAGGGGCAAGCTCCTGTCCTGGTCTTCTTTCTTTCTCATCTCCCATTTCCTCCAGGTCAACTCTTTTCCGGCCTTGAGAACCCATTAGACCTAGATATCCAAGGTTACAATGTCCAAGGCTATGGATCTCGGTGTATGTCCCTCCATTCTCATTCGTACAAGTGTAACTCTAACATGGTTCAGGTGGATGATGGGGCCAGCTCCATTGCAAGCTTCGAGGAGGTCAGCAGTTTCTCTCAGAAACAATCTGACCAAGGGAACTCTTGCCTCAACACGGTTGATAAAACCGAAAGTGAGGCTGTCCCTGACGTCAGATACGTTCTTCAATACAAGAGGAAGGGCCATGTTGTCGAGTGTAAGTCTACTTCGCCCTCAAAGACATACGTGCAATGCTGACCACGCCCAGCCCGCCAGAGTAACACGCCTTTTCCGAATGCTACAATGGCTGAAGCCAGTGATTGAGGTCATCACCACAGTTTTTGAAAGGGCCAACAAGCGCGTCGATGAGCCCGCCCCGGTCTACCATGGCTCTGATGGCGAAACTTGTTCCTTCGACGAAGATGCCTATAATGTCGATCCGGGGAATTTCATGAGAACAGACATACTTGTGAACTCGGAGTATCTCAGTAAGTGACTCGAGACGGAACAACTTATCCTCCCAGGCGATGTAGAGCACTTTGTGCTTGGCATAAACATCAACGATAGTCACAGGGGTTTAAAGCCCCGGCAGTCAAGCCTGGCCCTCGCTCAACAGTCAAGCTTTCTCACCCGTGTTTGTCAAGCCCTATTTCAGTGGAATAAACCACTGATCAAGTCCCAGTCAATGCGTTGAGAGCTGTCATCGGATCGTACCCTGGTGTCGACTTTCTCGGCGAGACTGTCTCATTCGAAGCTCCTTATCATGCCCTATTCCATCACAAGGATGCCCTCTCCCGTCACCGCATTTCCCAGCCGTCATGTCACGATGACAAGTATGCCGTCAGCACGGCCAAGCACATCGATATACTCCTAGAATTTCTAGAAAAGACTGTTTATGTGAGCCGAAACTTCTCGATCTTGCCCACCGGCCCCGGGCCCCAGCCCTCTCCCACCTGCGCCTCTTCGTCTCTTCGCCTAAAATGATTGCACATACGCGAACGTTATGCTGACTTCGTCATTTCTCAGAACACTGGACGAGTTGTCATCGATGCAGAAGGCTATGACCGCTTCTCTATGGGTCCTGGACCGAACGGCCCTCGGGGCCCTCCTCCGCCGCATAATCAATACCTGCCGCCTCCACCACCACCACTGAGGCCCCTCGCACAGTTTGGTCCGCACTGCGGGTGTCAAGCCTGTGCCGAAGAAGGTGATGAACAGCCTGGATACTTTGCCAACTTCGAGGATCTGGACCCCCTGACGGATGCGCCGCCAACACGACCTGTACTTTCTCGTGTGCAGCCCTAATATTCCGGCATTTATCCTGTCTGATCGACGGTGGGGCCAGGTTAGCATCGATCACCTGAGTGATGTGAAGTGCGATACCGAGGCCTTCAAGTACCTTGTCCTCGACGAGGGCGTCAAGTCAACGGTGAAGGCACTCATAGGGAAGTTCGCCTCTTCAGATGGGAAGGTCTCGCCCTGGCCGAATGATTTAGTTCGCAACAAGGGGGAAGGCCGTATCTTTCTCCTGCACGGTAGCCCGGGTGTGGGCAAAACTTGCACGGCCGAGTGTGTTGCTGAGCTCACCAGACGCCCGCTCCTTTCCCTGACGAGTGGTGACATCTCCACCTCTATGTCCATCTGGCATGTCGAGCACAATCTGCGTTACTTCCTGACCCTCGGCGAGCGCTACGGCGCCCTCGTGCTCCTCGATGAGGCAGATGTATACCTCGAAGAGAGGCGTTCCCGCGACCTGCGCCGCAACGGTCTGGTGTCCATCTTCCTGCGTGCACTGGAGTACTACCGTGATGTCCTCTTCCTCACGACAAACCGTGTGGAAAGCTTCGACCCGGCCTTTACGTCCCGGATCCACGTCGCCCTACACTATCAGCGCCTCGGCGACGCCGATAGAGCCCGAATCTGGGCGAACAATTTCGACAGGCTCGAGCGGGACAGCGCCGCGAAGGTTTATGTTACCCCGAGCGCAAGAGAGTTGGTCTTTGACCGACGTAACAATGGCGAGGTCAATGCACTTCGCTGGAATGGACGTGAAATCCGCAACGCACTGCAGACGGCGGTGGCCTTGGCTGAGACAGAGGCTTTGGATGATGGGCTAGAGAAGGTGAGTATTGCAGCTCGACATATCCGACAAGTGGTAAAGATGAGTCGGGGGTTTAGGGAGTACTTGATCAAGAGGAGAGGCTATGACAGTGATGACGAGGAGGAAAGAGAGGAAGAAGAAGACAATGAGGAGGAGAATAGAGAAATGGCGGAGGAGTGAGCGCCTGTGACAGTGACAATTACATGCGAAGGAACATGAGACGAACCACTGGCGGGCATAGGGCAGCAGGTTCAAGGGCGACATGTGACAAACACGCTCATTAAGATGTCACTGTAGTTTCATTTAGACTGACAACACAGCTCCCTACAGGTAGCAGGCTCTCAAATTATGCGAATAACCAACTCTTGCGCCGATACAGTCGCTTTAGAATTCGCAAATCGGTAGAGCACAAAAGGATGATCCGTAAACAATAGGCCCTGGACACCACCCCCAGAGGCTCGGTCGCCCTTACAGTAATCACCTCCTGAGGGCCTAATGTGAGAGAAATGTACCGAGGGCCTGATTGGAACCATAGGCTGATGAGCCATTCTGCACGGGAGGGTGATAAAGCCCAGTTGATATGCATTCCCGAATGGAACGTTGCTAGTCATGAAGCTGATGCACTGGTCCAAGCTGTCGTACTTTTCATTTGTGCCATTGCAACTGCTCATGGCTGTTGCGCGCACACTGTTGGCCAGAATCGAGGCCACGTTCAGGCCCTTCATAAATAGGCCGGAGATGATGTCGAGGTTCCATTGCAGCCACTTGAAGGTCGCGTCGTAGTGGGAGATCTGGCCCAGAGAGTTGTACGTCGCCCAAAACACAATCTCGATGGGGTACGTGGTATCAACCAAGGAGGAGTAGAACAAAGCCAGTCGCCACGGTTTGGTGAATTGCTAAATTGTCCATCTCACGCGCCGCCGTCGCGGTCTTCGATGATGATGATCCGAGACCGCGGGCGGATATGTCTATATCGCTGGACTGTCCAACATGGTGATAAAAGTCCGTAGTCTGAGCCTTTGGGCGGTGAAAAAACCTCTCGATATCCTTCGTTTTAAGACTTTGGCTGGTGGCAGAACATCAACATTATTCACTGGCCCCTTCACATCTGCCCAGGTGCCAATGTCACTCTTCCTGATCCTAGAATTCATCACGACAGACACAGCATCGAGATACGAAAGACTCCACATGATTTCCTTACATCGCATTGTAGCTCGCGACGGCCTTGGCCTTCACCTTAGACTGGACGGTCTTGAGCCTAACCTTCAGCTTCGACTTCGTATGCGTTAGACTTGTGCTTTGGTTCGAATTTGAAGCCCTGGGGTACCGGGCCGAGGAACATTTCGCTATCAAAGTCAGCTACCATCATCACCCAACAGCAAGGAGCATGTAATCAATTCGAACTCACCTGATCTTCACCCAGTCCTTGTAGTTGTCACTCGCAAGCAACGTCTCCAGGTCATCACGTCCCCGGTAGGCAGGCGGGCGATCATTGATCTTGGGAGGTAGATGCTCCAAAATTCCGACGGGTATATACCGGTGGGTGAAACTTAGGTACTCCAAAAGAAACTTTCTCGTAGTGCTCACACCAAGCTCGTCGGAGCCCCACGCCTCAAGGCCATAACGGGCAAACTTTTCGACGTAGCCAAGACGCTCGGTCGACGACTTGTCAAGGTACTGGCCCTTTTCAATCTCTTCGAAAACCCACGGCTTGATAAGGGCACCACGAGCTATCATCACGGTGTCGACGCGTGCATCTTGAATATCGCTGAAGTAATCGACGTGTGAGTAGCAGTCCCCGTTTCCGAGGAAATACATTCGTCCACCATTGGGCAATGTACTTGGGTCCGGCTCGCGCACCGTATCGGTCAGCTCGTCCTTCTTGTCACGGTAGGACTGGATCATTGCACCGCACTCGGCTATGTAGCTCCAATCGGCGGCTGAACGATACCGCTGCTGACGGGAGCGGCCGTGCAGCGTGATGGCGGCGCACCCCGGGGCTCCGAGCACATCGCTGGTCTCAGTTCCTCCAAACCCCAACCGTTCGATAGTCTTCTTAGCGGTGGGCTTGTCGCTCTTGACACCAAGCCGCAGTTTCGTTGTGATGGGCACCTCTCCCGACACAGCGTTCATGCCGCGTACCATGCGCTCCAGCTTTGAAGGCATGTCGAGTAGTGCAGAGCCCGCACCTTCTTTGTAGACCTTGTCAATTGGACAACCGCAGTTCAGGTCTACCAGGCGAAGGTGAGGAAGGTACTCGGACAGGGCCTGAGTGGTCTTGATAGCAATCCAGGGCGCATTGGCGGCGATCTGGGCGCCAAACTTGAGGTCACGAGTGTTGTCGTACCCAAGAGGTGCAGCACTGGGGTTCTCAAAGCGAGGTGGTGTAGTCTCGCTCTCGTGGGCCTTGAGGAGCGCCCATTCGGAACGTTGGCCCTGCAGGACATGCATACCGACAGCCATTTCTGAGTATGTTGCTCCCGCCCCGAGCTCGACGCAAAGGCGGCGGAATGGCAGGTTTCCCTGGGTGGTGAGCGGGGCCAAAACTGGTGTTTCGCGGCCGAAGTAGACCCTTCTCTTCTCAGATGGCTTGAAGGGCGGATCCACGAAGGCGGCCCGGTACTCCTGTGTCTTTTCGCTCTGCGTTTTGGGGGTCCCGTCTCCGCGTTTTGAGTTGAAGACACTCCGAGCCAGTTTGATGTCTTCATCTTGCCACCGGATGCACTGGTCGGATTTGGAGAAGTCCTTCTTCTTCCTAGAAAGCTCGATTTTCTTGGCTCCCGGTACGTTGTTCACGATGCCCGCAAAGCCGTCGGCAAATCCATCGTCATCTGCCGGGTTCTCAGACGGGAATCGACTCGGGTCTTTCACAAGGCACAGCTCGTTCCTGCCGTCGTCGTGGGTAGTCTCGGTCATGTGTGACTGAACGAAGAGGCATTTCCAGCCCATGTGGCATTCGCCAGTCCTCTCCCAGACGGGGCACTTTCCGCCAAGGACTTGGAGATCCGCACGCCTTCCGTCTGCGAGATACTTGCGGAGGTCGTGCAGCCGGTTGCAACGTGCGCCGTGCTTGCACTCCTTTGGGGAGAACTCGTTGCTATGAGCGCGCGTCTGGCACAGTTCAAGGGTGTCTTTCGAGAAGCCGAATTCCCTCTCGGTGTTGACACCGCGTTGCTTCTTGTTCTTGCCTCTGCCGCCGCCTTGGTCTCTGGCATCAATGCCTTTGTCCTCGGCAGCATCATCGTCAACACCACCTGCCTTGGCCTGGACTCTATCTCCCGCCTCGAGTACCCGACTTGGCACTTTGATCAGGTACCTATGAGCGTGATCAGCCAGGCCTGGTCATTGCCTACACCCGAGGGTCAGTTCTGCCTACTCTTGTTTCACGGGGGCCGTTCCCTTTGGCAGAGGCTTGATGTCGGTCTCAGACGGGTCATCATCCTTCCTTGCGACGACGCTGCCATTCTCGGCCTTTGCCCTCTTAGTAGCAGGTTCCTCGTCTGGGCGTTCGGGAAGTCGTTTCCGCTCATTGTCGCCCCCGTCGCCGTTGAGCCTTACAGGCGGCTCGGTGACTTCGCCGTTGGCTTCCATTGTGGCTATCACAGGCGGGTCAGATCACTGTTCAGAGCTGGTGCCAGCGACTGCAGACCTGAGATGTATAGACACTTACGAGCGGGCTTTCTGCGAATTGTGGTGCTGGAGTGTGTTTTTCTCTTGTGGGTTGTGTCGTACTGCTGTTCACCATGCAGCCTATTTAGTCTACCAATGAAGTTTTCAGTATTTGCCTGCCGTCAATGACGGCGGCTTTTGGCACTACGAGGTACCTACCAGCACGCAGGTACTGTACAGAAAAGACGGACCCTGCAGGGGGAGTGTGGGGCGTGCCCTGCATCGCCGCAGACCAGGCTTTGAGGTGGTGCAGCTGTCAGTTGACGGGCAGACGTCAGATGAGATGGAATGGGCAATTCCCAGCCGAGTCCTGACGAGTCGGGCCCGAGGACTGATCTGCCCCTGCCAGCCCTGCCTGCAAAGGAAGTGATGCTGCGCAGTCCAGATTACAGTACCACCTGGGGCAGGACAGCACAGGCACCTCCACAGCTCCGTGGCCCGTACATCCGTACCCGGTACCGTACCTAGGTATGATGGCGCAGATCTGCCGAAGCCCAGGCCTCATCGCTTGTCCAGATGCAGGGGTTGGCTGCTACTGGCTGTCAGCCCAAGCTCTGGCCTTGGGTTTCAGCTCCGAACCATCGAGCATCCAACTTGTGCATGCTCATTTCTCGAGGAGGAGCTAGACCAAGGAGTACCTGGCCGACCGTTCACCGTTGAATTCGGTCACCATCGCACAGTTGCTGGCAGAAAGGCACGTACCCGTCTACCTAGGTATGTGCACCCACGAGAGTCAGGGCTAGGCCGGGCAGAAAGACTCACTACACACCACCCGGGTACCGAGACAAGGGACGGTCTCCCCTCGCAATCTGTCAGGGGCAGTCAATCCAGGCACGCTAAGCCTTCCTTTCACCTGCAGGTCCACGGGTTGCAGCCCGCTGGCAGAAATTAGAGTGCTGATTTGGCTGCCGAGCTCCCAGGGCTGCCGGCCTACCCATCCTCCACCACCCAATCCAGCCCAACCTGCCCAGGTACATGCACGCCTGTGTAGCACCCAAGGCTAGAGTAGATGCGTGCATGAATCTTGGATCACTACACCTTCCCCCTTCCCGAAATCCTCCCTCCAAACCTCCACAACTATAACCACGACCACGAACGACCACGACAACACCAACAACAACTCCCATACCCACAAGATTGCCCTCGCCCTGACCCTCGCCCTCAGCCTGGCCTCCGCCCCGCGTCCCCCGCCCAATTGTCGTCCCAAGAACCACACGCCTCGGTCCCAGCCTCAGCACCAGCTTCTGGCCCTCATCCAGCCGTAGCCCGTGACATGATCCACTGAGGCCGTTCCTCAACCATGGCTGATCAACCAGCCAGACCCAAAGAAGACAAGCAGACGTCGCCTCTGAGATCGAAGATCGTGCGCTCCCAGAAGATATCCTCCTCCGCCGCCTCCTCGGGCGCCTCTCCGTCTCCCTCGCCCTCCTCGGAGCGCGCAGACGTCCCGACCCCCCTCCCAAGGTACGACAACTACCAAGACTCGGCGTCCGCCCCGGACCGTGCCCCTCCTGTGCCGCGCAGCCATACGCCAGGCCACCTCTCCTCCAAGAGCCAGGTGTCCAGACGCAAGCCCTCCACCTCCGACCTCTCGATAAGGCAGAGGGCCCAGTCTGCTGCCGCAGCCCCTTCTGCCTCCGCCCCGAACACTTCCTCCAGCGCGCCGCCCCCCGTCAGCATACGCAACGCCGCCGCCGCCGCCTCGTCCTCGGCTGTGAACAGGCCGCGGGAGAACGGCGAACAAAGGGCAGACGGCAGGCCAGAGTCGAGAGACGATGCATCCGCTGGTGGGGCCCGCCCGGCCGCCCTTCGGTCTACGTCAGCCATAGCAGGCAAGCCGGCACCGTCCGCACCCACAACAGACTCACGCTCGGCCACCAACGGCACCACCCGGTCATCCAACGCCCACCGCGCCTCAGCAACAACCACCCCGAAACACTCCGCCGCCGGCTCCTACAAGCCATTCCCACCCCTCGCCTCCCCCACCAACTCCATCCACGTCCCCCCCGCACCCAGCTCGGGCATGTACTGGTCACGCGCCCCCGTGTCAGGGCGCCCACACCCGGCCCTGCGGGCTCACACGACAACAATCATCGGCAGCAACATCTACGTCTTTGGCGGATGTGACAGCCGTGCGTGTTTCAACGACCTCTACGTCCTGGACGCCGACGCTTTCCACTGGTCACAACCATACGTTTCGGGCGACATCCCCGTCCCGCTGCGCGCCATGACCTGCACCGCCGTGGGCAAGAAGCTGGTCATCTTCGGCGGCGGCGACGGGCCCGCTTACTACAACGAGGTGTATGTGCTCGACACGGTCAACTTCAGGTGGACCAAGCCGCGGATCCTGGGCGACAGGGTTCCTTCCAAGAGACGGGCACATACGGCATGTCTGTACAAAAACGGTATCTACGTGTTCGGCGGCGGGGACGGCGTGCGGGCACTCAACGACATCTGGAGGCTGGACGTGAGCGACCTGTCCAAGATGAGCTGGAAGCTGGTCTCGAGCCCGACCGACGAGGTCGGCGGCGGCAAGACCAGGTCTCCGGGGGGGAGCACCACCCCGGGCAAGGACTCCAAGCCAAAGGCTCGCGGCTACCACACTGCCAACATCGTTGATGGCAAGCTGATCATCTTTGGCGGCTCCGACGGCGGCGAGTGCTTCAACGATGTGTGGGTGTACGACATCGAGACCCACGCATGGAAATCTGCGCCCGTGAGCGGGACGTTTAGGCGGCTCTCACACACCGCGACCATCGTGGGATCCTACCTCTTCGTCATCGGCGGGCACGACGGCAACGAGTACTCCAACGATGTTCTGCTGCTCAACCTCGTGCAGATGACATGGGACAAGCGCAGGGTCTACGGGCTGCCCCCCAGCGGCAGGGGCTACCACGGCACCGTCCTGCACGACTCCCGGCTCTTGACGATCGGGGGCTTTGACGGCGGGGAGGTATTTGGTGACGTTTGGATCCTAGAAATGGCGGTGCACGCGTATTATTCGCAGATCAGCCATTTCCAGATCGAGCTGTAGGCTACGACAGCAATCAGGCGCGGCGTAGCGAAGGTCGGATGGGTTCATTGTGATGTGAGTCGGAGTCGAGGAGGATGTCGACTGCTTTGATTTCCTTCCTTCTCGATGATGATACCCATTCACTTTGTCTTTTGGGTTGCACCAATCCGGGGAAGGCGCTGCCAGCATCTATTACTCGTATTTAGGCGCCAGGGCACCATTGTATTTCAAATTCAAAATGTAGGGGATGGGGTGTGCTGGGGTGTGATAGCGCGGAGTACACTTTCTTTCGGGAAATGGATTCATTAGGAATGTACTGTCTATGTGTGATCCAGTCGGCCTTGATCAGTCTCATGTCCATGCTTGTTTCCCAAATGTTGACGCCCGACCTCTACCACCGTCCCAATCGTCTCCAGTTCCGAAACACCATACATGCTGTTGTAATACTGTACAGATATGAAAACGACGCCACTAATGCACCTGACGCCTTGTTTTACAAACCCATCGCTCCTACAACCGTGTCGAGCCACTACATGCTTCGACTCCTTGTTGCTTGTCGCTATAGCAGTCACGCTCCGTGCTCTAGTCTCAGTTGGCAGCGCTTGAGGGTGCAGGCTCAGCGGCCTTGGGGGCTGGCTCCTCCCGGGGCGCGACCTTTTCCTTCTTCTGCTGCAGGCGGCGCTCTTCAGCGGCGACCATGTCTGTGTGGAGGGCGTGTTGTTAGCAGGATGGCCGTGCGACATTCGTTGAGGACTTGGGAGCTCGAACTCACCCTTCCAGAGGTCCTGACCCTCATACTCCTCCTTATGGATCTTCTTCTCGATCAGGTGCTCGTGCTTGGGGTCGTTGGGGTCAACCACCATGATTGTCTCCCACCGGCCCTTGCCCGCCTTGGCGTCACTCGTCTCGAAGGCCGCGGTAGCGATCAAGACGGCCAGCGTGAGACCCTGGGCGTAGACACGGGCCTGGACGAGCTTCTGGGAGGTGCTCAGGTACTTGTCACGGCCCACGATGGTCAGCGCGAGCGCCATGGCGGCAATCCAGGAGGCGAAGACGATAGAGTAGCGGTTCTCCCGGCCCCAGTCCATGAGCTTCTGCTTGTCGCCGCTGGACTGCTTGGCGGCTTCGATCATGCGCTGGGTCTCATCCTTGTAGAAGTTCATGGGATCCTTGGCCTTTTGAAAAGAGATGGAGTAGCGCTCGGCCGTGGTGATGGCGCCGAAAGTGGCAACTGACGAGACTAGGAATGTCCGGAAGGGAAGGGTCAGGCTGCGGAAGGCTGCGTAGCGGCGCGAGGCGGCGAGAACGCCGGCCAAGCCCAGGCCGAGGCCGACGGAGCCGCCCATGAAGCCGCCCTTGAGGACCTCACTGTAGTGGGCCTGCTCCTCTTCTTTGCTGATAACCTTCATTGCGACTGGTGGGTGTCGGAGAGGGGTCTCTGGTGTGTGCGGTCCCGAGCGTGGGGCGGATTCTTTCTTCCAGGGTGGGTTGGCGGGTTTTGTGTGTCCTTAGTATGCCGTGGGCGTTGATGATGCGATCCGCAGGTTTTTGCACACGGTTGACAGTAGACTAATCGTTCGATGTTTGGGGGTTTGTCGTCGTGCGGCGCTGGGCAGGTGTGGCGCCAGGAGCTGTGGTGGCGGAGGTCGTGAGATGGCCTGATGGTGTGATGGCCTGTCAGTCTTTTGAGGAGATAGGCAATGCTGAGGTGCGGTGCGCGTTGGCAGCTTGAAAGATGCTTGGTGTTGCAGTCGATAGTAGGCCGACTGCATATATAAAAGTCCGGGTTCACAAACGTAGCACAGGTGCAACCATTCAGGATCTAGGCTTTGGTGGTGACCGCGCAATTTTGTCATGCCATGTTTTTCCCGAAGACATGATGATGTAGATGGATCTGGTCCCCCGCCAGGGATCCAACCCGCTGCCCGCCCCGTTACCAGAGGCCGGACCAGACCCCGAATTACGTCCGCGGCTGCGCACAGCACCAAGCATTAGCAGGAGGCCAGGGCCGCTGACAAAGCCCAGCCAGGGCTCCAAAGCTTTCACTGGCGGGCCCAGCAGCACACAACAGCAGCATTTGGCGAGGGCCGGGCCCGAAAGCTGGATGTCGTCGTTCCTGCGAATTTTCGTAGGATGCCGAAACAACATTCGACTTTTCGGTGTTTGCTTGCACACAACTTCCGCATCGTACCAACATACCAACCACGACAACGGAATTGCGAGACTGGCACTGCCTCGAACCAAACCTCAACACTCAGAAGGGATACTGCTTCAAGCACCGCTTGTTTCGTCTGCCAGCTCTTGACAAGACACTGCCAATACCGTAATACGGTGTCGCCGAATCCCGACTGACGCCCGGCACAAGGTGTGAATTATAAGTCATCCCGTCCTGACCGAGAAGCTATCGGGAGGGAGCAGATGGAAGAACCAATTTCCACCACGGGGGGGTTCTCTGATAATGTAGCTCTTCCTTTTCGAGATGGAGACAGACGATGGCACAACGTTCGGGACTGTCTGTGCGTACTTGGCGGACATGCGGGCCTGTGGACCTGTGTAGCCTCTGCTCACTCATCAACAAGTGATGTCTCCTCGGAGAAGTGCGCCTCGTCCGCGCACACATGAGTCGCCCGCCCTTGTAATCAAGGTGTTCGCTGGCCTGGGGTCCAAACGCCGTTACGTGTATTAAGACGTACAAGACCATCCCGGGGTGGAATTATAACAGTGTACTGCGACTGAAGGTCCTGCGTGACGGGGCAGACAGAGTGGGCGCCCCTCCATCGGAGTGCCGCACGATGACGGCGGTGAGATCTACCGAAGCCGCCCCCTGGTACTTTGTAGTAGTAAGGATGTGGCGACAATCTCAAGGCTGGCAGGACCCTCAAAATCACAGATGGCGGCCAAGACGCTCTAACCGCGCATACCGTAGGCGCTGGCGACGCTTCATGGCCTCATCAGTCTCCTCCGTAGTAGGTGCTCCAGTCGGTCGGCCTTCTACACACTATTCCCAACCGTTGAATGCACAGTATGCAGTCACTCAGGGGCGACTGCGCGTCTCGTGTGCGTGACCATGTCTCATCTCGTCCGCTCGCGATCCGTCTCTCGGCCGCTTCTACCTTGGGTCCCCTTGCTTGTCGCACAGAAATTGGCTTTTCCTGCTCCTTCTAGGCGTCTTCTGGAAGGCTTCTGCCAGGTCCGCCTGCAGGTCTCGGAACTGGACTTGGCGCACGTTGTCTGTTGTCGGTTGTCAGTCACCGACAACATTGACCCCTGGCTTGCTGCACGACCTGCTGTAGGCAGCTAGGCCATGCGTCTGTGATTCGCTTCTCGTGGCCTGTCCACCAGCGCGAGACAGGCTTCTACCCAGAAGGGCACCCGTTCTTGTACAGGTACATGCAAGATCGGGAATCGAGTTTGGCTGAAAGTGGGATGTAGCCCCGCCAGGGCTTTTCCAACCAGATCGGGCTCGCGCTCTCGTCACCCACTACGGTCCACAGCCTGCACTTGGTCTAGTAGCGAAGAGCGGGTTCAAAGCAACGGCAGAAGCCGAGGCAATTTCGACACCACGGAATAAATGTGTTGTGCTGTGCTGTTGCTGTCTCACTTCGAGGGCTTCCCACGCGCTAAATCTGGCCGTCGCGATTGCGCACCTTACACTACACCTCCTGTGGTAGGCAGCATCCTCGCTGTGAGAGCCGACGGTTTTCCGTTCTGGGACTGTGCCCCGGTGGCCCAGTTGTTTTGCTGTTCGATCGCTCCCTGCAGGCTGCATCTCATATCTGGTGATCGGCGCATGCATTCCAGTTCTCCATTTCACATCTCCTCAGCTCCATTCAACAAGATGGGTTCGATGAGACGGCCGCAGGCACAAGGGCCTTTTTTAGGGGGGGAGTGGGCATAAGGGCCAGTCCAAGCGGCTAAGTCTGGACTCTGCACAGTGGCCTAGCAGGAAACAGAGTACTGTAGTTCTTGGACGGCGGACAGGAAGACGGTAGATCTCTGGGCTGCAAGAACGTCCCACCGACCACCGCCCGCAGCCCATCGTTTCGGGAATCGAATCTAGGTGGTATTGGAAAATGGATCGTGACTCGGTTGCGTCGGCTGGGACTGCTACTTCTGCCGGCTAGGAATTCTGGCAGGCGCCAGGCAAAGGCCAGGTCTCATTACGTACAGCCTCGGGGCACACATCCAAGTAGAATCCCAGTGTTGGAGGGTAGCTCCGGGAACTCGCCGAGTAGCGCCCTTATGGCCACGTTTTTCCAGAATAGGGGTCCAAACCCATAATGCTGGGATCCAGTGGCTCCAGGGCCCATCCTATAGAGCACCACTGTGTCAGACTGGCTGGGCTGGGCTGGGCTGGCTGGCTGGTGGAAAGGATCTCAGGCTTCTTACAGTACAAGCACAATGGCGATGGCTGGGGCTCCACCGGCATGGTTCTGCCAGGTCTGGCTTGTGATACTACCTAGGTAGTCCAAGTAGACACACACTGAACAAGGGGGGGCTAGGGCCCTCAATACCACTACCGTTGCAGCGGCACAGCGGCTTACTGCGACGCCGTTACAGAACGAGTACGATGCCCGTCCCGCTGCCTGTCACCGCAGTACGTCACCGTTCCGCTCCTCGCGCGGAACGGGCTGGCCCTTGAGTGTTCCTTGTGACTGGTGAGTACAAGGAGGACCGTCAGTCGCATTAGTCAACCTGTTACCGGCCGCTTCCATGTTCCGATGTTGCCACCCAGATCGTGCGGGACGACACGAGGTCTTACCGCGGAGGAATCTACTCTGGGGAAGCCCTGGCGTGCTCAGCAATGTTCCAGGCCACAGGTGGACAGAGGGTCCATGGGCCAAGGCTGCGGACGCTCGGGGCAATCTTTCAATCTTTTGACTCGGACAAGTTTCCGACTGAGGCAAGAGGCAGCCTTGCCGTCCTGCCGTCCCGGCCGTCGCTTGCCGGTCTGGCCGGTCGGTGGCTATGGCAAAAACGGACCGTTTTGCACCAACTGCAGCAGTGCATCTCAGAGCAAACCTGAGCCGCTGGCGACGAAAGATGCGGGTCGACATGATTCGACAGGTTCTGGGGTGTCGCTATCCGCAGGTCCTTGTCGCGTTTTAGTGTAGAGGTTGAGGGGTCTTGGCGGCGGCCTTCGACCCGTGAGGTTGCGTAAGTGTGCAGCTACATGGTACCGACCTTGCCGGCTGGACTCTACATTAGGCCGTCACCAATAACTGCGAGACAATGACTGACCGCCACGATTGGCATAAAGTCACGACGGCGCAGGGTCGGCTTGGGGTGCATCCGGACGTCCTCTGGAAGCAGCCAGCGTCCCAGGTCGCAATGGTTTTGGGCGAAGGTGCGAGTAGTGAACTTTGACATGACTCTACTGAGTTTAAAGAAAGAGAAGAGACCTTGACCAGGGCGGCCGCCAATGTCGTTGGTCGGGGAGGCAGGAGGGTGCAGGTCGGGGCGACAATGAGCGATGGCAGATCGGACGGCAGGGCAATGATGACGGCGTCGACTGGGATAGGCTGAACCATGGCGTCGATCACTGCAGACGTGAGTGCTCAGGCTGTCTGTCGTCTGGACTGCCTGACTTGGGCGAATACTGTAGACAGAGAGACAGAGAGACAGAGAGGACTGGAGAGACTGAATGCAGCGTTCGCCATCCGACGGCTGGCACTCGCAGATCGTCAGAACCTCGGGGCTTCGATGGGGTTATTTCGTCAAGCTGTGGGCCCGTAGGCGATTGGACAGTGCGATGCGAATCGACTAGAGCTCCAGATGTCGTGCTTCAATTCATGCACAGCCAAGGATGCCGTGGTGATCTGGGTACAGAGCAAGTGAAACCAGTGGTACCCTCTCAGCATTCCACAAGGCACAGCAAGGGTATCTGGACTACGCGTACAGCGTACTGCTTGTGCGTTCTCTGTCTGCCGTGATGGTCGCCGTCAGGCTGGGCATCACGGACGGGCGAGCTGGCTGGCAGGCGGGCTGGCTGGCAGGACAGGACAGGTCGAGCGGGATTCCAAGGACGGCTGTCGACACGGCTGACGAGCAGGGAGGACCTTGGACGCGAGTGGTTTTGGCAACTAATGGCAGGACGAACCAGTGGCGGTCATATCCGAGGTCTCTGTGAAGCTGACAGCAGAGAGGCTTGTCCCAGCGAGACCGTCTCGAGGATGCTTTCCGCTTTGGGCACGCGTCTGTCTGTGTCTTGGCGCGCACGTACACTCACGTACGAAGGCAGCGAGGGAGCACATCATGAAGCCGACAGCATCCCATCATCGCCAGCACCACCAGCACCAGCAGCGCCAGCAGCAACAGAAACAGCGTATCAGGGCGGTCGAAACTCTGGCTGGACGCGCCAACCTTGCCCCATCGATTGGACGGTGTGGCTGCATTACTCGTGCCTGTGCCGGGGCAGGTCCCCCCCCCCCAAACCACGGGCGCCCGATCCCAACTCGTCGTACACATGCACGGTCTCATGCATGCACGCATACGCAGCTTGGCCGTTAAGGTCTACTGTGCTGTATATGCGCACTCATTACCTTGGGTGATGGCCTGCATGTACTCATGTACCGTACTGACTGCATTGTGCGTTCCCGGCCGAGCAGGGCGGCCCAGTCACGGGCAGGGTCCGGTTCCTGAGCCCGGGAATGTTAGACTTCATACCCAGGTAGTAGTCTACATAGGTGAAGATGGATGCACCCACACCCTCCGAGTTGGCTTGTGGCTATATAGCCAGGGACAACAACTGGGATCCCGTGAGTTCGTCAGACAGCTCCCAGGGTGTTGCGTCGCGCCGTGAGATCATTGTTGTGGACAGTCCCGCCTCGAGGAGAGGAGATCAGCCCTCTCCGAGAGTGCCTTGTCTGCATCCTCTGCTCTGCTCTGGCTCCTGGCTTCTTGCTGTCGGCTGTTCGCCCCAGGTTGTTTCGTCTGGAGAGAGCGGCACGTAGACGCTGGCAGGGTAGTGCGCGACTGGACGTGCGAGACAGTACTTAGACCACACGCTCTTCCTGCTCGACCGCTCTGACCCTTCCCCAGAACCTGCTAATCATTCTTATTATGATTATTCCTCTTCCTCAAGAGACCGTCTATCTGTCCTGTCACCGTTCCAAAGAGTTCCCCCTTCCTCCCAGGTTTCGTGTACCGGTGCCAGAAGGCAACAGTCAACAAGTCGAACCAAGTCTATCATCTCTCTAAGGCGAGGCCCTGAGATAGAAAACACGCAGACAAACATACACATATACATATATTATTATACGCACATATACATCCATGTACATATCGTCTTACGTCGCACACCACGCACGCATGCCCTCACGCTCGCGCATACACATTGTGCCTGGATTTGTTTATTTGGGCCCCGTCGTACCACCAACATCTCTTCTTTGCTGTCTTGCCACAGCGGCGACTCATACCAGCAACGACCGCTCCCTATCCGATCTGTCCTGGTCTGTTCTGGACTGATCCAATCAGTTTGATTCCTGCCAACCTCAGCCGGACAACCAGACGATACAGAGCCGGAGGCGACTAGGCAGCCAGACGGCTGATCTGTATCCTCCTCGGCCACCCTTTCAGTTGACTCATCAACTCGGGCCGGCTGTTTTCAACATCATCGGCGCGCCGCCTGTCCAGACCGACTTTTGGGCCCAACCCCATTCTTTTTTTTTTTTTTTTTTTGTGTGTGTGTTTCGAAGGCGACCTGCGCCAATTCATAGTCGCAGTCTCTATTCTTCTGGTTTGCTGTCTTGGGTTTTCCCAAACGCAGTTCCCGTCGCCGTCGTCCTCGACGCATCATCGTTGATAGACCCGGGAGTGGGTATTTCTTGGTACCATATCCGATCCGATTCGCGATGCTGAGCACACTGTTTAGTGGCGGCGCTAGCGAAGCCAATACGACTGCGACTTTGAGTGGGAGCGCAAGTACAGGTACAGGCCGCGGTGCCAACCTCGCGAGTGCCGCTGCCGAGGCCCCGCAGGGGCGCACAGGCATCACGTCAAGCCCGACCAGGCCCAAGCTGAACTTGGACGGGGCGTCACCCAACCCTGCTGCTGCCACACGCCCAAACCCCAGTCCCTGTCGGGCCCAGGTCAAGGTTCGGGCTCAGGCTCAGGCCCAGGTTCGTCTTCACCAGGCTCAGGCTCAGACTCATCTCGCCCTGCAGGCCCAGTTCCTGGACTCGCTGCACCAACACCTGCACCCACGGCCGCGACTACGTCTGCGACCTGGACTGCAGGGCCGCCCCCCAGCGATAACAATTTCTCTGGTTATCGTGCATCGTCTAAACTTCCTCCCGCCCCTGCTACTAATCCCACCACCGCCTCATCCACCACCACCTTCGCTGCTACTGCCGCTGCTGCTGCTGTAGTGTTGACTCCCTCTGCGTCTGCGTCCACGTCCGCGACCGCGCCCACATCTTCGTCTGCATCTGCTTCCGCCGCCAACGACGACGACGACGCCGCCGCCGCCGCCTCGTCTGCACCCCATTCGCCCCCCACAAACTGCTTCAATCAACCAGACTGTTTGACCTCTGCTTCGCCCTCCCCTCAGCCTGCTACTCCGAAGTCGCCTTTCCCGAGTCGCGCACACCAATACCCACACCCATCCACGCCCGCCTCCAAGCCGCTTAGTATTTCCAGTGGCTCCTTTGGTCGCGACCACGCCTCCTCGTCGCCTGTCTCACGATCCCGCTCGCAACTGACTGCCAGCCTCCTGGTTGACTCAGCGCCTGTCGTCAGGGTTGCCGACAGCGACGGCGACATCGACCTTCACGACCTCGAATTCGACGACTTTCTCGAGTCTTCCGGGCCCCCCGCGCCTTCCAAGCCATCGCCCGCTGAACCCGCCACCATGACAACCGGTCCTTTCGACTCGGCCATGGGCCGCAGTCGACAGGACTCCTTCGTCGGCGCAAAGCCCATCTCCATGAACATCCAGAACCCCAACCGTGACCAGGGCAGCCGCCCCAGGCGCGAGTCACTCGCCGGGAGCCTCATGGCCGGCAGCCTCATGGGCGGCATGAGCTGGGGAGGCATTTCCGTCGGCAGCTTCATCCGGGACGAGTGAGTTGGCCCATCTGCTTCCCTCCTCCTTCATGCATGCACTGTAAATTTCTTTTGTCCGTCCCGCTTGCACATGGCAATGTCTCATTTAGCGAGACACCGACCGACTTCAGTATCCACCCGACGGCTCCATTCTCCGGGGCTGGGTCTCGAATTTGGACTGACATGACTTGTGCGCCGCGATAGGGTCCTGACCGGCACGTCACCATTCGTTACCTTTGGGCAGTCGCCCTCGCTCCAGTCGACGTCGTACCTCCCCAAGCTTGAACAGAATTTCATGAGAGATTTCAGATGCTGCGACCGAACATGGCCTACCTTGCACGATCTCCTGCAGCACTACGAGGAGAACCACCATGGCAACCCGAGCATGCAGATGAGCAGCCCCCCCGGCGCCAGCTTGAACAAGCAGGGGCTGTTCCCCGTACAGGGCGGCTCGCGCCAGCCCAACAGCCGCCCTATGCAGTCCAACACGTCCATGCCCTCCGGACAGAATGGGCTGTCGGGCATGGGAATGCAGATGCCAGGGCAGATGGGCCAGCAAAACCGGCAGTTTGGTGGCATGTCCGGCACTGGCTTGAACATGGGCGGCATATCCTCCATGATGCAACAGCAGCGGTCCACGCCGGGCACACCCAGCCAGAGCCAAATGTCCATGAACGACGAAATGGATGCCGTCGGCGACATGGAGATGGATGAGATGATGGACGTTGACAACAGTCAAAGCACCATGCAACAGACACGCCAGATGTTTGGCCAGCAACAGAGGCCACAGCTGCACCTGAACAGCTCCGGCCTTGGGGGCTTTGGCCAACAAGGCCTTCGCACGTCTACACCAACGACCCCGGCAGCCGCAGGCTTCGGGTTTCAGAACAACCCGACAGTGTCCTCGGTCAACACGCCAACGCTGGGCACGCAGCCTTTCCGTGGCCAATTCCAGCAAGACACGTCGAACCTCGATACCCCGACCGCCGACTTGATGGACGACGACATGTCCGGCCTGCCAAAGATGAACATGGGTAACCTCAACTTCAACGGACTTGGCGGGCTCAACGGGCTGAACTCGTCGCAGTTCGGCATGAATTTTGGGAATGGGAACGGTAACAACATGAACTTCGGGACCATCTCCGACCCTGGCAAGCAGCTCTTCAGCCCTGGCGGTGGCTCTTTGACTCCGGAGCAGCAGAACATGCAGCAGCAGTTTGCGCAGTTTGGCATCGACGTCAGCACGCTACCCCCAGGGACAGATCCGGCGACCCTGTTGCAACAACTGGCACCCCTGGCCATTCAAGAGGAGCACAAGCCGTTCAAGTGCCCGGTCATTGGATGCGAGAAAGCATACAAGAACCAGAATGGACTCAAGTACCACAAAACCCATGGCCACTCAACGCAGCAATTGCATGAGAACGGCGATGGCACATTCTCGATTGTCAACCCAGAGACCAGCGCCCCCTATCCCGGAACATTGGGCATGGAGAAGGAGAAGCCGTTCAAGTGTGATGTTTGCGGAAAACGCTACAAGAACCTGAACGGGCTGAAATACGTGAGCTTGCCTGTCCCAAACCCGATCCATGTCGTTGACAGAATTCTGACGCGTACCAACAGCACAAGGCCCATTCGCCTCCTTGCGACCCGGATGTGGTGGCGAGACAGCAGAACGCCATGGCCACACTTGCAGCCCTGAGTACCGGTAACCCAATGGCCATGAACATTGCGAACATCGCCAATCTCGGCCACGGCCTTCCCAACATCGGGGAGGAGCAGCCTCAATGAGATGGGGCCGACCACGAGTCGGAAAGCAGCCAGGACGAGCCTGACGAGGGGCCTGTCGCATCTTTGGAGCTTCAGGATCAATCCAACCCCTCGTCGCGCCACAAATGCACCCTGATGGATCCCACCACTGGCGAACCCTGCACTGCGGACTTTTCCAGAGCGGGTCACCTGCGGCGTCATCAAGAAACGATCCATCATATTGCTACCGCTACGTTCCGCTGTGATGTCTGTGACAAGGAACGGGTCTTCAACCGGCTCGACACCTTGCAGAGACATTATCGGCAGGTTCACCCTGGCTTGGAGTCACCTCACGGACGGCGTGCGACCGGCTAAGAAGCCGGCCTTGCTCTCCAGAGATGAGCACGCCCTGATTCCACAAGCACTCGTGTGTCTACCCTTGTCAACCTCATCTCTGGACCTCTAACCCAACCTACTCCTCTCAACCCTCGTCTTATCGATTTCTTTGAAAACCTGGAGAGGCAGTGCATTTCAGCATTCTGGATAGGCGTTGCTTCGATCTAGACTTTCAGGGTTGTTCTCTCCACTATACCCCCAAATACCCGGAGACTTAGACTGCAGATTCTACTATTCACGACCTGGTCTCTTGGTGTTTTTCGACCGTCTCTGGAGTATTCCCGTTCAGGCTTATAATCATTCGATTCCCCACCACAACGGTCCCATGGTTATCCGTCACATTTGGGCAATTGGCTACCCATCACCGCCCGTCCGACCCCGCCGGCCACTTGGATCCAACGTGTCTCTGGGTACGAAGTCCGCGGCCCATTTTACTCGTCACTGTGTAATTCTTGGTCAGCGGAAAATTTGTTTCGAGGTGTGAGAAGGATTCGGATCGGATCGAAGACAATAGACCCCTTGTATTGCTTTGCTTTGTGTGTTCCGGACGAAGAACGGTTCACATTGTTCATGTTATGGTGTTGCCTGCTGCACACGATTTCTCTGTTTCACGATGATGACAAGAGCCACCTAAAAAGTATGCGAGCGCGACGAGGATTAGAACAGAGTCAACGGTGAACGCGGAAGGAAGATGTCTGTTATCTATGCTATTATATCCCTTGCAGCTGGCCTAGCGAAACAAAAAAGTCGGGGGGTTTCTTTCTCAGGCGTTGGGTCGGGCCGGAAAAGAAAAAAACAGAGGATGGTGTCTAGAGGAGTTGCTACGTCTGTGCCGTGCTATGCTATGGGAAATCAAACAGCTCTTCATCATCACCACGCGCGACACGAAGACAAATGCATTGTGACCGCCTGGACCCAATCTGCGAGTAGCTTCTAGAGCCAGAGGCCAATTAAGTTTAGTTCCACACGCCCGGGAATCGTCCCCATGTCTGCCTTGTCTCGATCCCTTTCTGCGACATGCTCGCGATCTCCACATTGACGACGTCACCGGCGTCTGGCCTCGATATCCAGATTGGCCGACGTGCAACCCACGAACAGGTTCTCAGTTCCGGCGGTTACTTCTCGTCGGCCAGCTTATGGCGGGCGAGACCACCTCTGTTGCGTCATATTCGATACAGGATCACCGCAGCCGAGTCAGTATCCTGGAGAGAAAGCCATGGCAGAGACGTCGAGCTGCTCTCGGCAAGCCATCTTCGTAAGTCCCCGAGAATATCCATCCCGTACCCCCAAATGCTACCTATCCCGCCGCCTCCCATGCAATGGACGCGATCCACCTTTGCGCAACGATCCCGCTGGTATGGGTGCCCGTGGTAACCTGCTTGACGTAGTCGTCCGAACAAGTTCCGGGCCAGGACGATGCGTGGGGTGCCAAGGTCCGATCGTATCTCTACCAGGAGATGGGCGGATTTTGTTATCCGGAGCCGTCGGGATAGTCTTCCCGGGAGCGACAGCGATCCGTTGGGGGGAGGTGCCTGCCGTGAGGAAGGAGGCGAGGCTGCGTGACCGTCTTCAGCGGTCAACCCGGGCCGGGGCATCATTGAAGCCCACCGTTTATCTCCTGTCCGGCCCGGGTTATATCGTGGAAGTCACGCACTTCAGTCGAACTCGCCTTGGCCGGGATTTGATGGTATTTTTAGAGATGCCACACTGTCGTGGCTCGACTCGCGCGTGTCTGCTCCTAGAAGTAGCTCAATCCCAAATTGTAACATGAGCCGAGGCAGCAAGTACTGATTTGGCATATGCCCTAGAAAGTAGACCCTGAGGGAGGGTCCTGGCGGAAGAAAGGCATCACCGCGGTGAGGTGGCCATGGAGGGCACTGCGCATAAACCGAACCCTCACCTGGAAGGACGTTTCCTCATCCGGAAGGAAACGAAATTCCCAGATTGGCCAAGCTAGCAAGATGTTCGTGTATCCAGCCAGCCAGATCGATACCATTCCAAATCCGAATTTCCGAAACGACACCCAAATGAGCCGATGCTCGCCGCAAAGACGAATGGTAAGTGTGTGGTCTCGTTTTTGATCTGTACACATATGCTTCTTAAGCAATATGCGTCCAGTCCCTTCATACAGTGATAAACGCTTAAACACCCAGCGTTAGACGAATGGTAAAACTGGTGTGAACCCAATCTACATCAGATTAGAATACATGTAGGACTGCAAGTGCTGCCTTGAAATAGGCCTTTTGCTTGTATCCCGGTAGGTATGGAGAACAATATTGTCTACAAGGTCCTTATGACCCTGCTGCAGCGTTGCTGCTCAGACAATTACTGATAATAGGATTCATGGGAACACGAGACACAAAACTTCAATGCGACGACTACTGAACTGCATCAGCGCAATAAGCATTGGCAGAAGATCCGCTAAAAAGGCAATCCAAAGATTGATATAGCAGTTAGCCTATAGACCCTGACATCTCTCTGGAAGCTGATAGCTGGGAAGCATTGATCACGAGAGGGACTGCGGTGAAAATGACGGGACTGTTTACTACAGCATGGACTGGAAGCCTGGCAGGGGCTACCGTCCTCAGCATTTGAATAGAGCATAGACCCTAGGCAGAAGGGTCGAGGCAGACACCGAGGTAATGAATGCCATAGCATATCTACAATATTTCTATGGCTTTACGACTCTTCTTAATCTCTTTGAGAGGCCTTCCATGGTGTCTTGTGAAGACCCAACAAAAGAATCCCGGCGACTAATATTCCCCGGCTTCATGTTCTGCCCGGAGAAGTTCCCCAGGAACAGAACAACAAGATGATTAATTTTCGTTGTGGTATTGCTGGTAGTAATGGGGATGTTCAGCTGCGCCGATTGGCAGTTGCGTCTGTGGTAGTTGCCTCTATCGTACTATAATCACTTCTGGGCCAGTGCTTTGTGGAAGGCTACAAGTGCCGTGAGGGTTTGAAAGCATAATTATAAAAGCATTTATCTCCTAAGAGTAGTGTAAACGGAGGAAATAAAAGAAATTTAGCTATTTAAGTACTTTAAAAAGTGGTTATAAACCAGGGTTAGGGATATGCATATAATATACTCCTTAATTAAAAAGCAATTCTTAATTTATTAACTATTTTATTTTTTAAGCAGCTTTTTTATATATAAAAATATTAATTATAACTTATTAGATAATTAATTATTTAATTTTTCTTATAATATATATTTATTATTATTTTAACTTTAATTATTTATAGCTTTATAATATAATTTATAATTAATAATTAAACCTTATTTTTAAACTTTTTAATAAGTTTTAAATTTAAAAATACTTATTTTTATTAATTTAAAGTATTTTTTTAATTATATTAAAAATAATTAAAAGTAATAAAAATTAAGTTTTTAAAGAATAAGTTAATTAACTTTTTAATATTTTTAAAATTAAAAAGTTAAAATATAAGTATATTAAAATTAATAAAGAATTTAATAATAAGGATAATAAGAATGTTAATAATTTTATTAAAATGTTATTAAATAATATTCTTAAAAATAAGTTTTTTAATAAAGTTTAAAAATTAATTTTTAAGTATATATTAATTTTTAATATAATTATAAAGAACTTTTAAGTTTATATAAATAGCTTAAAGCTTAAGATAAAAAAGTTTTTTAAAGAAAAAATTAAAATAAAATATTAAGAAAAAAAAAGAATATAAAAAAGCTTTAAGAAATTAATAAGTATTATATTCTTTATTTTCTTTATATTAAAAGTTTTATATATAATTTTAATAATAATTTTTATATAAATTATAATAATAAGGGTAATTATTATTATTATTATATTATAAATAATTATTATAAGCTATTTTTAATTAACTTTTTAATATTTATATATTATCTTTATTATATTTAATTTAATAATTCCTTAGCTTTTAAAAAATCTTAATATATTTAAAAGAAAGCCTTAAATATATATAAGTATTAAAAGTTTAATTATAATATCTTTACTTATATTTTTATAATTTCTTTATATATTTAAAAAATCTTTATTATATAATAATAGCTTTTAAAAATTATAAAGGATAAATATATAAATATAATAAAGTGCTTTAAAGTTTAAATTATAAATACTTTAAAAAGTATAATAAGATTAATATAAAGGCTTAAAAGCTTAAAACTTAAATTATTAATAACTTAAAAATTATAAAAAATATATAAATTATATTAATATTATAATTCTTATTTTAAATTTTAATAATAATTTTAATAATGAATATTATTAAATCTTAATTTAAAATTATAATTTAATAATTTAAAAATTTAATTAAAGTTTAAATGTTTTTTAAAAAAAATTAAAAAATTATTATAATAATAAAAAAAAGATTTTAAATTAATTAATAAATTATTATAAAAATTAAAAGGTAGTTTTTAATTATTAAATAATTTTTATAATATAGTTAATTAATAAGTAGCGGATATTAATAAGTAGCGGATTTTTGCAATATTTATTAACTTTTATTAACCTTAGCACCTATTTAATGCAATTAATTTAATTAAAGTTAGCATTAATTAAGGCTAATTACTTTAAATTTCTTATTTTTAATTAATTTAGCTAATTTAAAGGGATTAATATAAATATAATATTAATTTAAAATAAGCA